TTAAGTGCGTTAGATAATTTATTAATTAAAAATACATTTAGAGAAGTCTATGGTTTTTACTGGCTTATCGAACAAACGAATACGAATGGACCCTAGATTATAACTGACTGACTGCCCCTGGAAGTCGACTTCTTACAGAAACACAGCTTCCCTATCATCAAATATACACCACTGCTTGTGATTAACAACATTACATGACCTTCAACAAATATACATGTTGATTTCACAGCTGATGATGATATTAAGAAAGTTTTCATTCTTTTAAAAGAAATTTAAATTTGGTTTCAGAATTAAACATTTTTTTTTCTGACAGATTTAAACATATCTTTTGTTTGTTCCAACACAATCTTATCAGTAAAAGTAAGATTTTTGCTAATTTTTATGGTAGTTCCTAATTTAAGTATTATTATTTTAAACTAAAATTCTCTCAGTGATGGAATTTATCATTTAAAATAGGCCAGGGCATCAGTATATAATGACAAAATATGTACTGATATAATCAATCAATATATATATATATATATAAATGAGGATGTTTATTTGTTCATTATGCACATTTGACCCTAGGCTGTTTGACCAATTGCATTTACGTTCAAATACTTCTAACTTAGATAACATCGTATATCTCACTCTAAAGCATCAAATGGATTTTAAATATCAATTAATTTGTGTCTACATTGATTTGCTGACTTTACAATGTAGTGCCATCTATTGGCAAAAATTTAAGAAAATAATAAACTAAATATAATTCTTACAAAAGAGAATATAGTTTTAAAAAATATATATTAAATTCACTTAATTACTGCGATAATGCTATAGCTTAAAATAGTTGTGCTATTTTGCACCATTACTGCAACAGATAGAACACAGCACTTGCCTTTTTTTAAAAACTCTTTCCCCCCTGTGATCACTAAGAGAGCCTCTTTTTAGCAAGCCCATTATAGATTTGGCAAGGCCCACAATGGGGCAGCTGGGTGATGAGGGATGCGGCGCAACATATCCAGAAGGACCACCCCCAAAATTCCTGGAAATTTTTTGACCTATCGGATTTTATTCTGGGTCCCCAGAGCAGCAACTGCCACTTTGACTGCTCGGCCATCTGGCTGCCAACAGAGTCCTGCCGGTTATGTATCTAACTCCATTCGGGGGAAATTTTTTGAATTGAAATAATGTGACTTCTGGTGCAAACCAAAAGTTCATATATAGTAATATGAGCCTTCTGCTCTTTTTCTTTCCGTATCTGGTCTCGACTTTCGTCTAGCTATATCCAATCTCAAGATTAAGAAAGGACAAATAGACAGACAGTAGACTGGGCATTTATAGGTCTACAACTTTTTTGAAATGAAAGCCCAACAAATTGCAGCCCAATAAGTACCCTCCAGTAACTGAGTGGATAAAACTACCGAACACCAGTAGTCAATCATGGGTTCATGCATGTCAACAGACTGGCCACATGCAGTTTTATGAATTTTTCTTCACATTAGTAACATCTAAATAGGGGCCAGCTTTATATGAAGTCTTTCCGGAATGCATCCTCCTTAGCAGATCACTTACATGTCGCATTGCCATAAACAAATAGATCAAACCAATATTAATAATTTTTCTATAAATGCGATATTTATGAGGACATATTTAACTACCACTAAACCTGGACATCCCACCCCATCCCAATTTCATCTCACTTTATTAACTCATAGTGCTTAAAGATATTCTAACGTTCAGCCAAATTAATATATGTGCCACAATTCTAAAGCAAAAGTAGAGCTCGAAGTCTTTCTGTGCTAATGTTTATTTTTACAATTTATTATCATGGCAACATTGCTTCATTCAAAATTTCCTGTAGTTGTAGTCTGTGTAATGTGCATAATGTGCACTTTATTCATATGTTGAGTCTTACTGTCAAATCTGCATCCACTATTTGTATGCCACAAGTTTCAAAAGTTTCCTTTACTTAGACATTTTTACTATGCTTTACTTTTTCAACCTGGTTTCACTGGTTTTCTTTTGTTTTTATTTTTATGGGATTACATAAAAGAAATTATTCTTGCATTTTTACGATATGTATTTTATTTAAACAAGTCTTATATGAAGTCTTTTGGATGTTAAGGTTAGCAACTTGAAACATATGTGGGCCTCACACCTATCCAATATGGATCACTTTTCAAGTATTAATTAGTCATTGACTAGCCTCTCCCAAGAACAGATCAACTACTACTTTTGGTCAAATTACTTCAACCCCCTTCTGCAATAATCTCTTCTTTCTACCAGACCAGCAATATGGTGGCATTCGAATAGGAAAATTACATAATACAAGGTTATTAGAGAGCATAAAATATGTTTTAAGTGGTTTTCGAGGGTGCTGAGATTAAATATTTTTTTTGAAAATGATAATTTTTAGGCCTTGTTTTATTCATAAATGCAAAGATTAATTTCTCATGAAGTAAAAATCTAAAATATACTATGTGCAGTATAATCTCCAAATAGCAGACACCATTGAGACTGAGAAGTTTTTCCACTGTTTAGAGGTATCCACTATATGGAGGTACTGTATATGATAGAGGCTATACTGTATCTTAACCTAGTCATCATTGTGGGTTCCCAGACAAGGTTCTAACTCGAGTAAACCGTGAAATTCTTGCACGACACAAGATGTAAACAACGAGACTCAGAATGGTTCGAGTATGTGTCAAACTATCTGTCAAGGTCTTGTCAGAAGACAAACTCTAGCATGAGCACTCATAAACAGATAGATCTTTGACTCGCGAGTCTATAAAATGTTGGGAAAAATAAACCTTTTCGAACAAAAAAAGGGGGAATTTTGATAGATGAAAGATGAAAATGATCGTTAAATTCTTAGATGTCAAAAAATGGTAAACAATGGCCTGAGTTATGAGTGCAGGTGTTATTGTTTTATAAACAGTCACTAAGCAGAGTCGACAAAGAGGTATCAGATGGACACCTCAAATCGGACCTTTCCCGCAACCCGAAAAGGTTTCGTCTTGCACCTGGAGACAAAGGAGAAACCAATCGGGAAGCAAGGAATGGGACAAGGGACCAATCCGAAATGCAAATAGTGGGGGAAAACTATAAAAATTGGAAATTCAAGGTCGAAGAAGAGTCTCCTCTGGATTAAGCCTATAGTTGTGCTACCACTGATCACCTAGGACACCTCAGCTTAACACCAAACATCTGCATCATCCAGCGATCCTTCTTGTCTGCTCGGGCTATGACTGATCACCCAAACTCTCACCGTTTCATAGGAACACCGAGATTTGGAATTGTTCAATATCGATGTAAGCATGAATTCGAACAAATAAATGGGTTTTCTCTTGTAAAACACTTGTTCTTCATTCGCCTCCTTTGCCACTGCCCACATATGCGGTTTCCCTTAGGCTTATTCTGATGTGGGATTAATTGTATTCCCCTATTAGTTGGCAACCTTACGTCATCATTCAGTGAAAAATATGATGGATTATGAAAACATCAAATTTGCATTAAGAATATGAATATAATGAAAAGTACACTTGCATATATAATTAAAATATATACAATATATTATTTAATTTTTTTAATTGAATCTCATTTTAATGTCAAGTTACAAAGGTGATTTATTTTCCACTTGAAAGGGTGGGAAATATATTCGGGATTGTTACATTTATAATGTCATTTATGATCTAAGTGACTAATAAAAATCGATACAGGGATTTATCTGCTTTGTAGTTATCAAGCAGGTGTAATTTTTTAACATTTTTGCTTTCTTCAGTAACTGATTTATTAAAAATTACACTTTAGCCACTACAAAGATATTAAAACAGCATTTGTTTGGTAAAAATTCAAAGGTCATGCTATGAAGGCAATTTGCCAACCACTTTAAAGTGTGGGAATATATTTGGTTTTCTCACATTTATGATATCAAGTTTCTTTTTCATTAATGCTATACTACGGTTCTTGTCGAATGAATGAATAACTTTGGAAAAGTTTAGTTTTCTTGGTATCATAGGCTTAATTCCAAAAATAAGACAGGAGTTTAATAAAATTAATATGTATAACAATAAATGGTGACTGAATCAGATTAATATTCTCTAATAGATAAAGAATATTGTTTGAATTCTTATAACATGCCCTTCTCTCCTATTCCTATTTTAAGCCAGTCTTTATTTCATCCTATGGTCAAAATTCATCATCTGAAAGAATATTTGAACTGATTCCTTGTTTTTGTTTTAAAATATTTCATACATAATTGATTCTTTCAGAATATTGAAAGCAGGACATTGAATTTACATAAAGTTGATTATAGATGATGTATCTGCTATTTAGTGATAAATATAATAGATGTCCTATTTGAAGGGTCTGAGGATTGTAAAAATATTTGTTAAGTAGAGGTGTCTGCTATTTGGGAGTGTCTGTTAATGGAGGTTTCACTGTATATTGTTGTTCTGCTGCAAGTTTATTATGAAAATTATAAAATGTTATTTATATAACATAAAATTAAACTGATGAAAGATTCAAAAACCCAATTTATAGTTAAGGCCAAATTAACTGTTGAATTGCCGTTCTAAATCTAGCATGAGAAGACGGCATAACTACATACCTCTAGACAAATTATTTAGTATTTAATTAATTATATAGATATATTTTAGCCCAATAATTTGACAGTTCATTTGGCTTTAACTGATCAAAGATAATTTTACGGTTTTCTAATCTATATATTTAGTTGGTCAAATGGCCGAGAAAGTTAAGGCACCAATTTACCACTGTAGGGGACCAGAGATCATCTAGACCAGTGTTTCTCAACCTCTAACGAATCGTCGCCCTCTTCACTTCAAAATTCCGATGCTGAGGGCCAAGGCTAACACCAAATTCGTACTGCATTGAATAGGCTAGTGATTAGTATAATGTTATTTGTTTAATTATTGTACGATATAACGAATAAAATATCTATTTATTCTTAATATAATGTTTTACTATATTGCCCAGAAAATTGTTTTTCGCCCCCAAAATATAAATTGTTACTAATCGCCCCCTCAACATGGAAAAACGACCACATGGGGGTGATATCGCCCCCGTTGAGAAACACTGATCTAGACAGTCAAAACACCCCAGTAATTTTTTTTGAGTTGTGTATCCTGGACAGATCATACTCCATTCCTCACTATCTGGCCACCCTACTGTGGACCTGACTTTTAGGCCAACCCACAATGAGCTTGAAAAAGGCCTTTTAGTGCTCACAGAATGAAAAGAGTAAAATAAAAATCTACATATTTTCAACTATTTCTTTATAAATTATAATATTCATCAAGTCTGAGTCATTTTGAATTTTAAAAATTCATACAGGACTGTAACCTATGCTTTAAACCAAAGATTTTGAAGTTATTTTTAAATTTCAACTTTATAAATCAAGTTAATTATCAAACAAAAGAAATACTACATTAAATTAATCTTTGTACCTTTTTGCCAATAATGACAATATATGGAAGACCAATTTCTTTGGCATTATTAAAACGATAGCCAATTGTTAACTTTGTTCTTTGATCTAGAATTACATTATCTTTCAAATGTTCCAGTTGGTTCAATGAGAATGAGATGTCATGAGCAAACTGCATTGCAGATTCTTCTTTGCCACCAGCCTACAATATTAAAAATACAATATAAAATACAATTAACATTTTAAACAATAAATAAGATGAATCAATAGTTGAGTGAAAGAATATGAAAATAAAATACATAAAGTCATTTTTATAATGCTTCTATATAATCTAACTAAAGAAGAGTTTTGTGTATTAATATAAAGATTTTGTATATAAATACTAAACATGTTTTGGCAAAAGAAAGTGACACCATTCTTCTAAAAAGATGTTGACTAATTAGAACATGTAGGATGTAAATGTCATTTTCTTTGTCACAACTGTTGTTAGGATTCTGTAGAATCCTATCTTTTTGTTTAAAAAAACAACAATTATTGTATTTTTGAATGTACTGTGAAAAGCTTAAGTTCAGTTCTAGAACACACTCATGATGGTATTCAAGAATGGAGAAGGATTTGAACAGAATTATGTTTGAGAAAATTCTTGTAAAGAATGTTTTTGGCAACTTCTCCCTCCCAAAAAGAAGTGTTGTTAGTGATTTGTAGTCATATTAGACTTAAAATAAATATGTTTATTGTTTTTTGTACAAATAATTGTATAAATCTGTACAAAGAACCTGCTGATGTGTTTAATCTATAGTTGTAATTTGTACAAAGACACAAATAAATAATGAGCAATTATTTATTGTGACATTATCAACATGCTCTCCAATCATGCTATTTGTAAAGCCAAGCATGCTCTCCACCTCAAATTAGTACTGTAGTGTCCTTTAACAATAGAGTCGTGCCAGTTATCTATTAACTGCTTTCAAGGGAAAGCTTTTGAGTTGAACTAATGCAACTTCTGGTTTGCATCGGAAGTTCATATATGGTTACTTGGTGCCTTCTGCCTGTAAGGTCTCAATATCCGGTCTCGGATTTAATTTATCTAACTCTGTTCTTGAGATTACGGAAAGACAGATGGATGGACGGACAACAGTGGAAATTTATAGGTCTACAATTTTTTAAAATTGCAGCCCAATAACATTTGAATTTATAGTGCAAATTTAGTTTACAGTTGATCCAATTAAAAGTTAGTTTGCCAGAAAAATATAAACTACACAATAGCAGGACTTGGTGACCTCTCATTCCTACTATTGCTTATAGTCCTTTCAACTCTCACTAAACCAACTATAGACTATTGATAAATATTATATTAGGGAAACAAGACCATTTGATTAAAGCTTTAAAAGACAAATTAAAAAACTTAAAAGTAAAACAATCAATTTGAGTTTTTATGAGGCAATGGTATACAACAGTTGTAGATCAACATTAATTTTTGTTTACAGGAATATAATATATAATAAGATTATATTATGATCAGACTTATGGATGAAGAATTGAAATGATGCAACATCATGAAAACAAGAATGTAAATCTTATAAAATACTTTAATAAATCCAAATCAAGATTATTTCAGGATGAAATTGCATAATTTAACAAGTGAATGATAGGCAAATTGGACAAATATCAAATTTATCATTTACATTTTGTGAACATTATTTAACCTGGCAAAACTAACAACGGAAGTGGCTGAGTAGTTAAAGATGGGCATGATATATCTGAATCAATCTCTGGACACAAGACAGATCCTCCAGTGATGAACATCTTTATGGCATTAGCTGCTCAACCATGTTTATTTGTTGAATGCTTGCATTTGTAAAATTACATAATTATATTTTGAAAATAAAACTAATGTGTAATTAATATGTAATGGATATATTTAATTCCATTGCTAACTCTTTATATTTTTTCATTTATGCTACTTTTATATATTTCAATTATTTTCTATGTTCTATAAAATCAATTTTTCTAGATTATAAAATATATTTTGATTATTTTTATAAATTTGAAAAAGTGGTAATAAAATTTTACAATAAATTAAGAAATTAAATTCCATTTGACTACAAACCTTTGGTGTAATCACACAGACTAATGCAGGAGCTATTTGTAAAGGCCATTTTAATTCATTTTCTGTCGATAGAAGTTCTAAACATGCACCTAATACTCTTGACACACCTAATCCAAAGCATCCCATTTGAAGTATTCTAAATTTATAATTTAAAAATAAAAGCAAACAAATTAATTTATTTATTTGTTTTTTTACAATAAATCCATTGAAAGTCATTTCAAATATATATTTATAAATTATAATATTCATCAAGTCTGAGTCATTTTGAATTTTAAAAATTCATACAGGACTGTAACCTATGCTTTAAACCAAAGATTTTGAAGTTATTTTTAAATTTCAACTTTATAAATCAAGTTAATTATCAAACAAAAGAAATACTACATTAAATTAATCTTTGTACCTTTTTGCCAATAATGACAATATATGGAAGACCAATTTCTTTGGCATTATTAAAACGATAGCCAATTGTTAACTTTGTTCTTTGATCTAGAATTACATTATCTTTCAAATGTTCCAGTTGGTTCAATGAGAATGAGATGTCATGAGCAAACTGCATTGCAGATTCTTCTTTGCCACCAGCCTACAATATTAAAAATACAATATAAAATACAATTAACATTTTAAACAATAAATAAGATGAATCAATAGTTGAGTGAAAGAATATGAAAATAAAATACATAAAGTCATTTTTATAATGCTTCTATATAATCTAACTAAAGAAGAGTTTTGTGTATTAATATAAAGATTTTGTATATAAATACTAAACATGTTTTGGCAAAAGAAAGTGACACCATTCTTCTAAAAAGATGTTGACTAATTAGAACATGTAGGATGTAAATGTCATTTTCTTTGTCACAACTGTTGTTAGGATTCTGTAGAATCCTATCTTTTTGTTTAAAAAAACAACAATTATTGTATTTTTGAATGTACTGTGAAAAGCTTAAGTTCAGTTCTAGAACACACTCATGATGGTATTCAAGAATGGAGAAGGATTTGAACAGAATTATGTTTGAGAAAATTCTTGTAAAGAATGTTTTTGGCAACTTCTCCCTCCCAAAAAGAAGTGTTGTTAGTGATTTGTAGTCATATTAGACTTAAAATAAATATGTTTATTGTTTTTTGTACAAATAATTGTATAAATCTGTACAAAGAACCTGCTGATGTGTTTAATCTATAGTTGTAATTTGTACAAAGACACAAATAAATAATGAGCAATTATTTATTGTGACATTATCAACATGCTCTCCAATCATGCTATTTGTAAAGCCAAGCATGCTCTCCACCTCAAATTAGTACTGTAGTGTCCTTTAACAATAGAGTCGTGCCAGTTATCTATTAACTGCTTTCAAGGGAAAGCTTTTGAGTTGAACTAATGCAACTTCTGGTTTGCATCGGAAGTTCATATATGGTTACTTGGTGCCTTCTGCCTGTAAGGTCTCAATATCCGGTCTCGGATTTAATTTATCTAACTCTGTTCTTGAGATTACGGAAAGACAGATGGATGGACGGACAACAGTGGAAATTTATAGGTCTACAATTTTTTAAAATTGCAGCCCAATAACATTTGAATTTATAGTGCAAATTTAGTTTACAGTTGATCCAATTAAAAGTTAGTTTGCCAGAAAAATATAAACTACACAATAGCAGGACTTGGTGACCTCTCATTCCTACTATTGCTTATAGTCCTTTCAACTCTCACTAAACCAACTATAGACTATTGATAAATATTATATTAGGGAAACAAGACCATTTGATTAAAGCTTTAAAAGACAAATTAAAAAACTTAAAAGTAAAACAATCAATTTGAGTTTTTATGAGGCAATGGTATACAACAGTTGTAGATCAACATTAATTTTTGTTTACAGGAATATAATATATAATAAGATTATATTATGATCAGACTTATGGATGAAGAATTGAAATGATGCAACATCATGAAAACAAGAATGTAAATCTTATAAAATACTTTAATAAATCCAAATCAAGATTATTTCAGGATGAAATTGCATAATTTAACAAGTGAATGATAGGCAAATTGGACAAATATCAAATTTANTGGCAACAAAAAAATTTTCCAGAATTTGTATATCATGGCTTGTTATATTGTTTAAATTTCTATTTTTCACAGTATATTACTTCACTTTTCAACTGAAAGTTAATTTTAAATAAAACATAAGAAGCTTATAAAAATTTGTGTTTAAATTTATATTTTTGAATAGGATGTAAATTTACTCCAATTAAGAATATCCGTTGAATATTTTAAATCAGGGCTATGAGGGCTAATACACCACTGTTCTTGTTGCATTTATGCAAAATTACCAAGACTGTGCTGTAATAAAAATAAATCAAGAAAAATGTTCTAAATCTCGTACTAATTTTGGAATTGGATTTGATCCTGATGATGGTCTATTCATAGACCAAAAGCACTTGAGTTTTAATAATAATCCATCACTTGTTTGGTGTTGTGTTTGAAGTTCAAGTGGATCAAGTGATCATTTCAGAATAAGCCTACAACTAAGTTGAAAAAAACTACTGTTGTATTATGATTAGTTTTAAGCAAGGATTTAAATGATGTTACTGAGTTAAATAAAAACTTGCTTAAAAGTAAACAATAATATAATTCAAATAAATAATTAAGCAGAATTCAATTTCACCCACTGTTAAAAATGCATGGATTATTTCAGCTGAGTAACTACAATGACAAATTCATCCTAAATAATAATTCAATTGATATAAATCTTAAAAATATTCATATTTATAAAATTTGACTTTTAATGTAAACTTAAATTAAAACAAAACACTGTAATAAATGATTATAAGATTATTATGTAATTACCTTTAACTGGTAATATACCTAACTTTTTAAATATATTTTCATATGCTTTACAGACATGATTATATGTTTCAACTGCTTCTTCCTCGGAGGTATCAAATGTATACTAATAAATTAGAGAATTATATCATTCACTGTATTTAAGAATTAAATTAATCAAGTTTAAATCATTCACATTTTTCACAGTAATGTAAGCAACAATATGTAAGAAGATTGAAAATAATTCCATAACAATAAATAATATATATATAAATATTAGAGTTTTAAAATATAATTTAGACAAGTGACTATTAGTAACTTCAAAAATTGAATTTTTTGATGTTATGTAAGCATCAAGAATATGGTCATGAACACAATGGAATGTATCAATATTGACATATATCAACAATGTATCAACATGAATGTATCAATATTTTAATGTTAAAGAATATAATGAATGCATAATGAATAAAAATCTAGTATTGAATTTTCACAATTTGTGACAAAAGAAAATAAAACTAGTTCACAAGACTAATAAAATTATTTATTAGTCTTATTATTTCAAACGTTTTTGAGTCATATAAACTGTATATTTAGTAATAAGAAGATATTGATAATTCAAATTCAAAATGAACAGATCAGTTTCAAACTCTTTTCATAACAAAATAAAGTAGGAGTTCAATTAGCAAATGGTAAAGAAGATCCTAAAAGCTGGATTTTTATTAAAGCCTAGAGATTCACAATAGCATCAGAAATCCTTTAACTTTCATAAAATGCTTTGGCCATTTTTACATAAAGTTAGGTCCTTATCAGATGAATAGACACCTTAAATATTTCAACTGATGTACTTCGCAATGCAAGTAAACTATTTCATAATAAATGTAACTTGAATATATATATATATTCAAGTTACATTTATTATGAAATAGTTTACTTGCATTGCGAAGTACATCAGTTGAAATATTTAAGGTGTCTATTCATCTGATAAGGACCTAACTTTATGTAAAAATGGCCAAAGCATTTTATGAAAGTTAAAGGATTTCTGATGCTATTGTGAATCTCTAGGCTTTAATAAAAATCCAGCTTTTAGGATCTTCTTTACCATTTGCTAATTGAACTCCTACTTTATTTTGTTATGAAAAGAGTTTGAAACTGATCTGTTCATTTTGAATTTGAATTATCAATATCTTCTTATTACTAAATATACAGTTTATATGACTCAAAAACGTTTGAAATAATAAGACTAATAAATAATTTTATTAGTCTTGTGAACTAGTTTTATTTTCTTTTGTCACAAATTGTGAAAATTCAATACTAGATTTTTATTCATTATGCATTCATTATATTCTTTAACATTAAAATATTGATACATTCATGTTGATACATTGTTGATATATGTCAATATTGATACATTCCATTGTGTTCATGACCATATTCTTGATGCTTACATAACATCAAAAAATTCAATTTTTGAAGTTACTAATAGTCACTTGTCTAAATTATATTTTAAAACTCTAATATTTATATATATATTATTTATTGTTATGGAATTATTTTCAATNAAAAATATAATTCTAAAAAACAAGCATTAAAAATAATCAATGATTTAAATTTTATTGGGATCAACACACACCATACAAATTTATTGAAAAGTCAGATGATAAAACTAAAAATATCTCAAGTACTGTACTTTCAGACAATTCAAGCCCAAAGAGGTATACATCCTTAGAATACAAAGTTTTAAATTTCTAAGATATTTCTCTAACATTTGTTATTACTTAAAGAATGCTTTCTTTTAAATAGATTATCTATTTAGTTCAACCAACAGTACAATGCTGCTGATTCCCTGAAAATAGATATGTCTAAAAATACTTGGCAAATCTTTTGCTTTGTTGCTATTTTACAGTAAATTTGCAAGGTGTTTGTTGATTTCAGTGAAGTACTCATTGTTTCTTTTTCATAATAAAATTTATTGAACTAAAAGTTTATTAACTGCTACTAATAATTATTAAATATTGAGTAATTTGGCATAAGAGCTTCTTAAATATTGTATGCTTTGGGAGCTGAGTCATCCCCAGTCGGTACTGTGAATTAGTAGTATGGTTATATCAAAATTTAATATGTCTGGAAGTGAGAGATCAGACAGAAGCCTGGTAGTGTAATTGGCAATGCATCTGCATGGTAAGCAGTAGTTGTAGGTTCAAGTCTCGCTCTGGGCTGATTCTTTTCTTCTGGAAATTTCTAAATTATTTAATAAATATTAATTTAATTATAATAAATTTAATAAGAGATGGTGCCTAACACCTACATCTAATGACAAATTACTTGGCGTTTAATAATTATAGTACTGGTAATGTAGCCCAATTTAACCTGGTAATCATTTGGCTTTGATATGATCATAGGGCTTTAATTTATTTATATATAGTTTTATAAATTTTTAATTGAGGTAAATGTTAATTTTCTATGAATTTTTAATGTTTTAAAAAATGTACATTTTAAATCTAATTTAAAAATAAAACTCAAATTTATATTTGTCCAGTTAAAACAAAACAAATATTTTAGATTATAAATAATACAGATTCATACTTACTTTTTACAGAAAGTTAAGTCATCTTCACCAATATCACTAAGAAAATGAAATTCATCTGTATATCTACCTCCTATATTTCCAAATGTACCTTTAACTACACATATAAAACTATATTAAATAAATATATAAGTTTATCGTTAAATTTAATTGAAAATTTTTATTAATAAAATATATTAACATTTTAAAATATTTTATAACGTTTTAAATACCAAATAAAAAATACTAATGTAAATTCTAAAACTTCTGCATTAAATACAAATTTTTCAGACTGTAATTTATCAAAATTATCACTCAACTGAAATAATATCAAAGTCATTGTACCATACTGAACAATTATTATAGGTAAGTACTATTTAATGATGGTGACAAATTCTAAGAAATAATCATTACACGAACATTACAGAGCATACTTAGACAAACCTATAGGCTCATATAGGCTGTAAGTAGCACAATTGTAATGCAATGATAAGTATTTATATGTCTAACCATAGACAAGAATAATTTTTTTATGTCAGAATAAATTGACACCTTCAGATTTCCAGCAAAATCTGTTTAACTTAATGTAAGCTAATGTTTTTGGACATCTAGTTTACATGAAGAAGGCCAATAGGGCAGTCAAAAACATTAGTTTACATTAAATTAAACAGTATTTTCTTCAAATTTAAAGGTGTTAATTTATTCTGAAAGATGAATTCTAGTTACTTAGTGTTCATTTTTCTACACATTAAATGCTAGGCATATACAAGAAATTAAATTCATAGTTGTAATTGTTGTTGTTTTTAGTTTTTTTTAATTCTTTCCATCCTGTTGGCACTAAGAGGGTCTTTTTAAGAACCTTACTATTATTTGAATTTGGCTAGGCCCATAATGGGGCAGCTGGATGGTGAGGGATAGACCTAACATATTGAGATGGATCACCCCCAAAAATTCCTGATGATTTTTAACTCATCTGGATTTGATCCTGGGTCTCCTAAAGCAGCAAGCGGCCACTTTAACTGCTTGGCCATCCAGTCAGTTGTCTGTTATTTCTTAGTTTAACAAATCTTATTTTTAAGATTTGTCAGTCCAATAACATAATGGTCATAAGCTAGAGATTATTATTTACTAGTTTGTGACTTTAACTCATCTTTAACAAATAATTCATATAGTTAATAGTAATGCATGATTTATAATTTAAATGAAACATAATATCTAATGAATAAATAACAAATGGATTTTATATCCAGCTCAATAATTTACATAATTTTAAGTAAAAGCTAAGTATTAATCTGTAATATGAAGAATTTATGTTTTTGCAATTGTCACAATGAATTAAATGCAGCACATTCTCAGTAATCTGGACATTTGCAAGTTCAACAAGTCTAGTAATCCAATATAAGTATACTCTTGGTTATTATTGGGACTATTGCCAAGTTGTACAAGTTTCACACTAGTTCAGATTTCAGTTTCCACTAAATTTGAACATCTTTCCATTAAATGTAGCATGATAACAAGCCAAAGCTTGAACATTTAAGCTTGGGTATGCTATTAAAGATTGTTAGGCTCATCATCTTAGGCTGCTCAAAAAAGGTACAGTATCTTATAATAAAATATTATATAAATATAAAAATCAGTCCTCTAAAATTTCCCCCTAAAAATAGTGTACCTCCTACTACAATTTCCCACAAAATTTAATGGGAATCCACCAACTTGGCAACATGATTACTGGCAATGATAACATCCTCAGATGTTTTGATCAGTAATCCATCTTGCATTTGCTGCATCATTAACAGTTGATTCTATGTTGCCAAATTCCTTTATGTGCCACTGAATTCACCTTACTACAATTTACCTTTATAGTAACTCTTTGGGAACAAATGTACTGTACTTGAAACTTACAATAACTTTAANAATGGATATATTTAATTCCATTGCTAACTCTTTATATTTTTTCATTACATTTTTTTCTGTGGGTACAAATATACCCCATGTAGGATTTTAAATTATACAAGAAGCATTTTCTTGAGGGCTGGTTTTATCAGTGTAAAGTGTATTGTACAAATGTTTTAGTTCAGGTTTCTCAAAAGTTAGATGCAATCAATCTTGTACTGAAAAGAATTGTAAGAAGAAATGGAAGAATTCACAACTTGATCAATAGTGGAAAATGCTTATGCAGCTAAAAGAGAAAGATGTTCACTGTGTCAGGAAAAAATAGGAAAAGTAGAAACAAATGCAAAAAATGTAAAAAGTTTGTGTTCAGATCATGAAACCCATTATATATTACAAGTTGTGCAAAGACACTAATACAGATAAATGAAATATTTTGTTATGCTGCTAATTTAGTAAGATTATATTTTAATTTGTCCATTTTGATATCTTTTAACTGATTTTTGTGTATCAATAGTGTTAAACTATTTTAAATACAAATACTACCAGGCATTGACAGATCCAGAAGTACCCAAAAAGTGGGGACAACAAAAAAAAAAAAACTAAACATATTTGAATAATTAATAAGTACCTTGATTGTATTGCAGATGATCTGATAAGCCATATTTTACATCATAAATGTTTTTAAAAACAGCATTTTGAAGTTTAAATAAATGAGTTTTAATTAAATATAACAAAATATAAAATCGCAACGTTTAACAATACTTTGTTTTCGTTTGTTCATCCGTCGTTCGCTCCAGTTGACAGTCCACAAATTTACAAACACGAAGGCGACCTTTCTTTAGAGGCTACTGCCTCCGCAATAAAATGCAAATATGGTATAAAAAAACGTCCTCTGGTGCTATTGCCATTTTCACATAAAATTCATTTTGAAGAAAAATAATAAATATAAACATGGCCAACGGTATTTACATTTAATTAAATATAACAAAATATAAAATCGCAACGTTTAACAATACTTTGTTTTCGTTTGTTCAGAGGACGTTTTTTTACCATATTTGCATTTTATTGCGGAGGCAGTAGCCTCTAAAGAAAGGTCGCCTTCGTGTTTGAAAATATGTGGACTGTCAACTGGAGCGAACAACGGATGAACAAACGAAAACAAAGTATTGTTAAACGTTGCGATTTTATATTTTGTTATATTTAATTAAATGTAAATACCGTCGGCCATGTTTATATTTATTATTTTTTTTCAAAATGAGTTTTAATTTTTTGTGTCAATAGAGAGGGATTAAGTCCCAGTAGTTCTCTCCTTCCATTGCTAGCAATGTGCAAACAAAAAAATTTTCCAGAATTTGTATATCATGGCTTGTTATATTGTTTAAATTTCTATTTTTCACAGTATATTACTTCACTTTTCAACTGAAAGTTAATTTTAAATAAAACATAAGAAGCTTATAAAAATTTGTGTTTAAATTTATATTTTTGAATAGGATGTAAATTTACTCCAATTAAGAATATCCGTTGAATATTTTAAATCAGGGCTATGAGGGCTAATACACCACTGTTCTTGTTGCATTTATGCAAAATTACCAAGACTGTGCTGTAATAAAAATAAATCAAGAAAAATGTTCTAAATCTCGTACTAATTTTGGAATTGGATTTGATCCTGATGATGGTCTATTCATAGACCAAAAGCACTTGAGTTTTAATAATAATCCATCACTTGTTTGGTGTTGTGTTTGAAGTTCAAGTGGATCAAGTGATCATTTCAGAATAAGCCTACAACTAAGTTGAAAAAAACTACTGTTGTATTATGATTAGTTTTAAGCAAGGATTTAAATGATGTTACTGAGTTAAATAAAAACTTGCTTAAAAGTAAACAATAATATAATTCAAATAAATAATTAAGCAGAATTCAATTTCACCCACTGTTAAAAATGCATGGATTATTTCAGCTGAGTAACTACAATGACAAATTCATCCTAAATAATAATTCAATTGATATAAATCTTAAAAATATTCATATTTATAAAATTTGACTTTTAATGTAAACTTAAATTAAAACAAAACACTGTAATAAATGATTATAAGATTATTATGTAATTACCTTTAACTGGTAATATACCTAACTTTTTAAATATATTTTCATATGCTTTACAGACATGATTATATGTTTCAACTGCTTCTTCCTCGGAGGTATCAAATGTATACATATCTGAAAGATTAAATTCACATTTAAATTAACATGCTTAATTCTGTTAATGAAAAATAAATTTTATTTTACATCTAATTTATATAAGATAATATAATTATTTTTATTAATTTAAAAATCATTTCTCATATAATGATTTATAAGATTAAAAGTGACAAATTATAATAATTTCAATCTTTTATATTTATCCACAGGAAATATATAAAGTATAGCATAATTATAATGTAGTTCATTGGTTACATGTATATTATTTGTATAATAAAATTTTAAATTTTATATTATATGAAATTTTTTTATATTGATTAAATTAATACAATAATACATAAATTAATACCTTTCATAATGAATTCTTTTGTTCTCAGAAGACCAAATCTTGGTCTCATTTCATCACGGAATTTTGTTGTTATCTAAAAATACAAGAATTTATAAATAAACATTTACTTTTATTTATATGATTTTCTATTTTTTAAAAATTGATAAGTTTAGCTTTTAAATTAAAATAAACTATATAAAATTTATTTTAATTCAAAAAATAAAGTTACAATTATTTTGCCTCAACAGTTACTAAGAAGCCAATGTTTAATATATGAAATATGTTGTAAATAATAAAATTATTTTTCTAAATCAATGTTAAAAATGTGTAATATTACATAACTTGATTAATTATTAATGTTAGTTTAATGACAGCATAAAAATATGGCTTGTAAAAAAAGAGAGTTGCAATTAATGGTTAAAAAATGCAGGCAAAATTAAATAAATAATTATTTAAAATAATTATAAAAACTAAAATTAAATTAATACTATATAAATTAAACCAAAAATTAATTAAAGCTAAAACTAACAATTAAATTTAAAAATAATAAAATAATAATTAAAAACTGTGGCCTTTACACCAAATCAAAACTAAAACTAAAAATAAAATCAAAACTAATTAAAATCATATCAATTGAAAATTAAAACATTTTTAAAAACCATGTAAAAGTTGTTTTGACATTTTCAAATTGTAAATCAAATTAATTATTACATTTACATTATTTGTGTGTGGCAATGATGAAATTTTGCTTTTAATATACAAACAGATAAAAATTATTAGAAATAATATAAAAACTAAAACTAAATCTGTACATCTTATTTTATATATAAGCAAAGGTCAAACTTAAAAAATAATTGTTTTCAGAGCAAACAAATGGCCGTCTCTTCAACTCTAAGTCTGAGTCAAAAGTGAAATCTTTTTATGTTTCCTATTTGTATAGAAAGATCTTCCAAAGACTTCTCCTTCATTAATCCATGAATTCATGTCCAGTCCACAGAGGAAGTNTATATATATATATAGATTCTTGGAATTATAAAATTGTAATATTAATACAGTATCAACACTAATAATGCTTGCTTAATGTCATAAATGTTGCAGAAATTGCATTATTATATAACTTAAATATAATTAAAATAGCCATAAAATTTGGCTTAAATAATAATTCATCTATTGTCTATATACAAACATCTCACAACTTAAAGTCCATTGTTTTAATCATAAGCCAAACTGTCATATTAAATTGGGCTAATTTACTGCTACTATTAATAGTAGCGATAAAGTAGCCCAATTTAATATGATGACTGTTTGGCTTATCTATTGTCTGTATTTATTGGCAAGTTATGCGAAAAAAGTTTTTTATCTAGTGATATTTGAGCTGAAAACAATAGATTTACTGTTTTTACTGAATGATATACTTTAACATATTTGAATTTATTTGTTTATATTATATGGCCATTTCTATCAATGATAGATTATTATTATTATGTAAAGGGAAGAGACAGGCTGTCTGAGAGGACTTAGTCTAGAAAGAAGGTAAGGGTAAGGTAAGATATGGGGAGTGTGGGGAAAGGGAGTGAAAGGGGTAATATGAGGAGGAGGAAAGGTGTAGAAAATAGTTGAGGAAGAATTTAGGGTAGGGTGGAATCACAGTCTTGACATGCATCACAATTATTAAAGTTAAAACAATATACAATATTATATACAACAAGAAATGCCATTCTGGTCAGATGAATGAGTACATTAACTATCTACAGATGAAATAGCAACTACAGACAATATGCATACATATTAACAAGTTGAGAACAAAATATTACATTTAAGTTTTACAGTTGAACACAAGTAATGTGATGACACAGTTGTATTTATGACAAGCATCATTCAATTCCAGTTGGCAGGTTGGCTGTGTTATTGTATTTGAGCAAGTCCATGTCCTTACAAAATTAGAGATCTTGTAGATCTCCTTGTTTGCTTACAGTGAGCTGAGTTCCATAGGCCATGCCAGACCATTTTGTAGGCATGACAAATTAGCTGTACCCTCTGATTTTTGTACTTTAGGTAGTCAAAGATGTAGTGGGGAATATTCCCCACAGAAGTGCCATCGCAGCTACACATGTCACTATTTGTCTTTTTGAAATGATGGAGATAAGCAAGAAAATTTCCATGTCCTGTCAAACACTGAGTGATAATATGGTTGGGTTCAATGAAATTGCGTAACTGCTGGTGATGAATGGAGGGAAGGAATATCAATGATAGATTGTAAGATCATAGAAAAAACTCATACTGTATATTTATATAAGGTGCCTATAGAATATGAATGAGTTGCAGAAACAAATCTTTTACTGGAGGCCAGATGACTGCTGTGAATAAGGTGCTGTGGAGACCTGGATGCCAAGATATGTCAGGCTCTGTCACTCATAACACAGCTGTCCCATTGTAGACCTGGCTTCCATACCCATTCCCATTTTGAGTATGGGAAGAAAAGCTTCTTAGTGCTCACAGACAGAAAAAAAAAACCCAAATACTTGTTTCTGTCTTAAATTTATAAAATTATAAACTTTTAATAAGACAATTTAAACAAACCTAAAAATTAATTAAAATTTAAAATAATAATTGAAACTGTGGCCTTTACACCAAATCAAAACTAAAACTAAAAATAAAATCAAAACTAATTAAAATCATATCAATTGAAAATTAAAACATTTTTAAAAACCATGTAAAAGTTGTTTTGACATTTTCAAATTGTAAATCAAATTAATTATTACATTTACATTATTTGTGTGTGGCAATGATGAAATTTTGCTTTTAATATACAAACAGATAAAAATTATTAGAAATAATATAAAAACTAAAACTAAATCTGTACATCTTATTTTATATATAAGCAAAGGTCAAACTTAAAAAATAATTGTTTTCAGAGCAAACAAATGGCCGTCTCTTCAACTCTAAGTCTGAGTCAAAAGTGAAATCTTTTTATGTTTCCTATTTGTATAGAAAGATCTTCCAAAGACTTCTCCTTCATTAATCCATGAATTCATGTCCAGTCCACAGAGGAAGTTAATGGGTCCTTTTGAGGAACAAATTGTAGACCCCACAAGTGACCTACTTACTGCTTCTTTGTAAAGTGCTGGTTTTAGTTTTTGTGGGGGCAGGAACATTTTGTTTTAAATTTTTAAATNCATAAAATTTGGCTTAAATAATAATTCATCTATTGTCTATATACAAACATCTCACAACTTAAAGTCCATTGTTTTAATCATAAGCCAAACTGTCATATTAAATTGGGCTAATTTACTGCTACTATTAATAGTAGCGATAAAGTAGCCCAATTTAATATGATGACTGTTTGGCTTATCTATTGTCTGTATTTATTGGCAAGTTATGCGAAAAAAGTTTTTTATCTAGTGATATTTGAGCTGAAAACAATAGATTTACTGTTTTTACTGAATGATATACTTTAACATATTTGAATTTATTTGTTTATATTATATGGCCATTTCTATCAATGATAGATTATTATTATTATGTAAAGGGAAGAGACAGGCTGTCTGAGAGGACTTAGTCTAGAAAGAAGGTAAGGGTAAGGTAAGATATGGGGAGTGTGGGGAAAGGGAGTGAAAGGGGTAATATGAGGAGGAGGAAAGGTGTAGAAAATAGTTGAGGAAGAATTTAGGGTAGGGTGGAATCACAGTCTTGACATGCATCACAATTATTAAAGTTAAAACAATATACAATATTATATACAACAAGAAATGCCATTCTGGTCAGATGAATGAGTACATTAACTATCTACAGATGAAATAGCAACTACAGACAATATGCATACATATTAACAAGTTGAGAACAAAATATTACATTTAAGTTTTACAGTTGAACACAAGTAATGTGATGACACAGTTGTATTTATGACAAGCATCATTCAATTCCAGTTGGCAGGTTGGCTGTGTTATTGTATTTGAGCAAGTCCATGTCCTTACAAAATTAGAGATCTTGTAGATCTCCTTGTTTGCTTACAGTGAGCTGAGTTCCATAGGCCATGCCAGACCATTTTGTAGGCATGACAAATTAGCTGTACCCTCTGATTTTTGTACTTTAGGTAGTCAAAGATGTAGTGGGGAATATTCCCCACAGAAGTGCCATCGCAGCTACACATGTCACTATTTGTCTTTTTGAAATGATGGAGATAAGCAAGAAAATTTCCATGTCCTGTCAAACACTGAGTGATAATATGGTTGGGTTCAATGAAATTGCGTAACTGCTGGTGATGAATGGAGGGAAGGAATATCAATGATAGATTGTAAGATCATAGAAAAAACTCATACTGTATATTTATATAAGGTGCCTATAGAATATGAATGAGTTGCAGAAACAAATCTTTTACTGGAGGCCAGATGACTGCTGTGAATAAGGTGCTGTGGAGACCTGGATGCCAAGATATGTCAGGCTCTGTCACTCATAACACAGCTGTCCCATTGTAGACCTGGCTTCCATACCCATTCCCATTTTGAGTATGGGAAGAAAAGCTTCTTAGTGCTCACAGACAGAAAAAAAAAACCCAAATACTTGTTTCTGTCTTAAATTTATAAAATTATAAACTTTTAATAAGACAATTTAAACAAACCTAAAAATTAAAACTTAACATACTGTAATTATACATACACACATAAATTAGTTTTTCTTTATAAATATCAAAATAATAGATTCTTACTTGATATAATTTCATTGGAAATAATTTATGAGATAAAAATGCTTGATGACGAGACATTAATTCAGTTATGGCTTCTTCATGAGTCTGAAGAGAAGAAATCAACATATTAAAATTCAGTATATTAGATTACTAAAAGTTTCAAACTGTATAGCTTATGATGTATTTATTAATCACAAAGAGTCAATTAAAAAATTAAAATTATTTTTTATTATTATTAATATTTCAACATATAAGTATTTAATTTTTCTTATCACTGCAAAAATTAGTGTGAGAATCCAGGGACTGTTTTCTGTATAAATTTTTAACAAAAAGACGCATTTTAGAAACCCTTCTTTTTCTATCCATTTCCCACAGTGTTGAAAACGGAAGACAATCGAATACTGAATTAACTGTCAATAAGTCCTTTCCCCTCACATCAACCCGCAAAAATATTGAAAATATGTTAAAACAATCAACTGTTAAAGTGTGAGAAAGTTGACAGTTAACTAAGACTAAAGGGAGAATGTAAAAACAACTAGAAGAAATAAGAAACCTACTAGGTAATTTTGTTTAACTTAATTGTCCAGTAATGACACCTTTGATGTGTCATCACTACCAAACAAATGGTCACCCGATCAGATTCCCACACTAAATACACATATAATGACCAGGCACTCATTAGTCAGGGCACATATCTAAAAGCAATGATAGTCTTGGCTCCACCACAATCATAGTCCCCAAAGGATTACATTGATATCTGGTTGTGTATTATGCCAAGTTCCTTCCCCCCAGTCCTCCATGGATAATCTACAATCAAACGACAGATATGATAATTGTCAGATTGATGTACACTCTCTCTCTATCAGAGGACCGCTAGCATAGGAATGCATAGTATTACAATTGTATCTTATATATAATATAAGATACAAATAAGAAAATAAAGCATATATATATATATATATATGCTTTATTTTCTGTTAAAGTTATTAGTTTTGTTAACCTGTCAGTCAGACTCTATTCTATCACCCTATCGACTTACCTATGGCTCTCCCCATCTGATATTTTAAAAGTCCTCCAATAACTGCTAGGAGCACAAGAATCGTGAGTTAAGATGTGCTATTTCTTAAGTGGTGTCAGTCCTGACAAGAGTGAGAAATTTTACACCTCCAACTGTAAACAAGCTATCCAGTGACAACATGAGTGGATCTCACCGATCAAAGAAGTTTGGAGTTTGATGCTCTACCCCTCCCTGGCTTCTCACATTAGTCAATGCTCTTTATAAATTGTTTCTATGTTGAATAATTTCCAGCCAAGTAAATACCATTTTCTACATAATACTATTCTAATGATAGTTTCAAAAGACAACAATGGAATTTGAGATACCAAAATATAAAACACATGATACATTTAGTAAAGAAATTATTATATATGAAAGCATCATTGAATAATTTTCAAATAACATAAATATACATATGCAGATGGCATATTCTCCTCTACCTAGAATGGAGGTATAAGAGAAACTTACTTTCTGAATAAGCCTTGTATATAATAACATAGTCAAATATTTGACTGAAAAGTAAACAATTGAACAAATAAATATACATGTAGGAAATTCTAATAATCTATTTAATTTACATATATAGGAAAATAAAAACAATTTCAAACACATTTAATTGAATATATTGCTTGTAGACTTATGATATAATAGGCAAAACTCTGTTTTTCATGAACATTGTTTATTAAATAATTGTAATATTAAAAAAAAACAGTGACATTTCATTTACCCGTAATCTGGTATGCCAGCAAACCCAATAATCCGGCATGTTGAACTCATTACAATGCATCAGAAGTGACAAACCTTCATATTGTGTTGAACAATGTTTACACAGAAAAAAAGTAACAATCACATAAGCAAGTGGACTTTAGTGATATGTTCATGACAACTCATCAGAAAGTTAAGCATTGTTTTTTACCATTATCATCAACAACTTCTAATTTAGACATGTGGAAATGGAGAAAGACCAAGATGACATGATGATGTGCTGTGTAAAACCAGTTAGCTCGTGCATGACTTTTTAAAGACATTAGTGCACGGGTTTGATATGAAATCAGAAATATTTAGCACACTTGGAATCAATAATTATCACAGAAACAGCTACAGTACATTACTGTTCGTGTACTTTGATAATTAGAGCATATCTGTATTTATATACAATAAAAGTGTACAAAAACACAAAGTAAGAATAATGTTCTTGTTTCAAGCCAACCAAAGGTAGGATATCTTGGAAAAATTAAAATGGTCTGTTAAACAATCATGAAAAGTATACTGTATTTGTACAGTTTTACATGCAAACATATATAAAACTTTGTCCAGGGAATAAAAAAAAAAAAACTGGAAAAATTTCCACTGTCTAATATGATAGCATATTTGATAATCTGGCACCATAATAGTACCAACATTGCTAAGTTAAAGGAATTTCACTTTTAAGATCTTATATCATCAGTAAACATTTATTGTAAGAAATTTAAAGAAAGTGTAAGAAATATTAAAAACTAAAAATAAAAATAAAATGGTGTGGGACACAATTATCTAGTTTCAAAACTAAGAAAAGAGCACTTGAAGTAGTTGCAATTGAGATGGTAACATCAGACATGGCATTGAGAAAACTGGAGAAGTATCAGATATAAAATAAAAGACTGACATCTATCATTGAGAAATGTGACAAATACCCAAAACTGATTTTTTTTTGAGAACAACTGCACACAATCTTTTAAATATTTAAGAACATTTAATGTAATTACTTTTTTACAGGAAATACAATAAAATTATTCTATCCTTTAGTATAAGTACAATATATCTTTTTTATATCATACAATGATATTATCCTTATATTATTTTTTATAATCTTTAGCTTCTTGATAAAAAGCACTGAGTTCAGCATTAATACGATTTTTCTTATATTGCAAGTATTTTCAACGAGTATTATATCGTCGTCCTCAGGCGAAAAAAGAACAAATTTGAAAATTAGACGACGATATAATACTCGTCGAAAGTACTTGCGATATAAGAAAAATCGTATTAACGCTGAACTCAGTGCTTTTTATCAAGAAGCTATACAATTTTGGTGTGAGTTTTATTTATTTATCTATTTCTATTTATAATCTTTTTTATAAAGCTGCTATAAAGGAAAAAAGACATAACAAACAAATGCCTATCGGCCAAACATCCAGAAGCCTTTTACAATATATTTATATTGAGTCATTTTAGGATAAATCTGCAGATTTACTTAGAAGAATTTCTCATCTTCATAACTAAATCAATATTTGAGATATTGTCTTAAAGCAGCGATTCCCAACCTGTGGTATGCGTACCCCTAGGGGTACGCGATAGGTTGTTTAGGGGTACAGAAAAAAGTTAGTTATTATGGCAGAAAAAATAATATATTATGTATCACAAACTAATAGTATTAAAAAATTATTAGATAAATAATGTTCCTTGCAACAATCACAACTTTATTATACATTTTTTCTTTTAGTTTTTTTTCTTTAATTTAAAGTTACAATATGTAAAATTAAAAATACGGTTACTCACTAAATTTCTTAAATGAGGGGTACAATCTAGAGATATGACATGTCACGGGGTACAATCTAGAGATATGGCATGTCACGGGGTACGCTAATGAAAAAAGGTTGGGAACCACTGTCTTAAAGCATAGTATGGATTCATGCAACTTTTCATAAGTACTGTAAATTGATAGAAAATATTGAGTAATATTTAAACTTGGTTATTAATTTTGAAATAAATAATATTTCTTTTATTTTTAGAGTATTATTTAAAAATAATACTCTAAAAATTAAAAATTTTTTCTCCTTTCAATACAGCCAAAAATTATTATAACTCCATTTGATAAACATACTTACAGGTCCTAAACACATTTCTGTATCATTTCTATCTTTTAATTTATATAACTCTTCTCCTATTTTATCCCAACGACCTATAAATAATATAAATTAAATAGAATTTTCTTTTTACAACTTTAATTATTATCAGAGTCAATATTTTGTGTTAAAAATGTATTCTAATAAAGTAGTTTTTTTGTTATTGTTATATTATTAAAGAAATTTGGAGTTGTTTCTCATTACATATTAATACATATAAACATATACTCTTATACATATTAAACATATAAAACAAACCTGAAAATTTCCATAAACGTCCCGGAGTCAGAGATGGCATAATCATTTTTTCTCCACCGATATTTTTCATTTCTTCATCAACAATGTTTATTAATTTCTCAAGTGCTTTCACCATTGGAGGCAAAAAATGATAGATACCAGTACTTGATACTTGAATGAGTCCATGTTTCAACAAAAGCTATAAAAAGCGCAATATTTTACATAAAAATGTACTATATTCAATCAGAAGATGCATTATTTAATAATAAATACCTTTTGACTTTTACACATTGCATCATTGCAACTAAGATTGAAACTCCAAAACTGATTTATATTTGGTATAGTGTGATAAGATCGATATAAGCAATTAATTTCCTTAAATACTTTCATTGTGTAATACAAAATAATTCAAACTAAAACATTAAACATTAATAACTATTAATAAACATCTTAGGACAACTACACCACGTGTTCAGCATTTGTTTACAATCATACGACATGATAGTTCCTAAATATTTTGTTGGATGGCGCTGTAAGTTTTATGATTTAGTTTAATAATTATAAAAAATACTTTTATCAAAATTTAGCTGATTCGAAAATTTTAATTAACGGTTAGGTAATATCGATCCTTATTTAAATTTAAAAATCCCTGTTGTAAGATCTGGCTTATATACTTTACAACTGAAATTTTGACCACTACATAATTGACTTTTGTCCGTAATCTCAATACACAGTAATGAACAAGTCGACATTACTATATATAATATAATTCCTTATATTTTGTGGTAACAGGTTCATTGAAAAGAGGTAAAAATACATTTATTTGGCATCTGGACCTGGAGAAAACATCCGTGAACTGCAGATATTTATTCCGGGTCCATTATCGAGATCCATTCTAACAAGACGGCCGGATGGCCGAGCAGTCAAGGTAGCAGCCTACCGCTCTGGGGACCCGAATCGAATCCGGACGAGCCGGGCGTGGTCAGACCGGATATACCGGCCCTCGTCTCTCACCAAGCCACCGCCCCATTGTAGGTTTGGCCGAATCCATAATGGACTTGCTAAAATGAGGCCTTCTTAGTGCCCACAGGGCGGAAAAAGTTAAAAAAAATCCATTCTAACATGATTGAGATAGGGAAACGCTTCAGACATATAAGCCGGAAAAAAGCTCCCGGAATGGATGGTATCTCAGGAGACATGGCAAAGAGGGCTTATCAGGCAATCCCCACTACATTTTTAGTGATTTACAACAAGTGTTTAGAATTAGGCTATTTCCCTAAGAAGTGGAAGGCAGCCCATATTAAATTAATTCCCAAAGGCAACATTGGTCAACAGACAAGGCCGCAAGACTTCCGGCCCATCTCGTTGCTTTCTATTCTTGGAAAGGTGTTAGATGCTCTAATTGCAAGGAGGCTACAACATCATATGGAATCAAGGCATCTTTTCCACCCAAACCAGCATGGGTTTAGGAAAAACAGAAGTACGGGGACAGCCCTCTGCCAACTTATAGGGATCATTAAAGAAGCCAAACAGAAAGACATGCATACGTTAGCTGTTTCTATAGATTTCAAGGGAGCATTCGATTATGCATGGTGGCCAGCAATATTAGACTCCCTCAATAACAATAATTGCCCCAAGAACATCACTACTTTATTCAGGAGTTTTTTACAAGACAGAACAGCGTGTATTAAAACAAGCACAACTACACTCACAAAGGTAATAAGTAGAGGCTGCCCCCAGGGGTCTTGCTCTGGGCCCCTCTTGTGGCTGTTGGTCTATGATGGCCTCTTGAGGTTACAGGATAGTCAACCTTCCAATCAAGCAACTCCTGATGCTGACATAGTTGGCTTTGCTGATGACACGCTGATTACAATGAAGCACAGGAACCAAGAGGTGCTGCAAGTTAACATGAATAATCTATTAAAGTCTGTCAATAGATGGGCCGAAAACAACAAGCTTAAAATCAATATTGAAAAATGTAACTCAATAGTCTTTCCTAGAAAAAGACCCCTAGACAAGCATCCAGCTATCAAAATCAATGGCCAAAAGATCCAGACAAGTACCGAAATAAAATATCTTGGGATCCTGATAGATAACACTCTCACTTGGAATCCTCATATTCAGAACATCAAGAAAAAATGTATTAAACTTGCCCATTCTCTGCGCTCTATTTGTAAAAACCAATGGGGTATAAAACACCATACTAGCAGAACAATCTACGAGTGTGCTATTGAACCGGTGGTTCTCTATGGGGCTGAGGTATGGGGAAAGGCAGTCACCAAGCAACAGACTAAAAGAAACATCTTATCCATCCAACGAGCATGTCTGCTAACTGTAGCAAGAGCCTACAGAACAGCACCTACCAACGCACTCCAGGTACTGGCAAACTTACCTCCCCTAGACCTCAAAATCCTGGAAACATACTGGAAGTTTCACCTTAGTAGAAATCCTAGTGGCCTCCTTAAAGAAGTTGACCTTCCTATAAGTATTAAAAACATAGCAGAGTATATCATTAAACACAAAATGGACTACACCCACAAGTACTACAAACTACACCCTGCCTGCAACCAGCATCCTATATACAATATCCACATCGCTACCCAAGAAAATCAACCACCGTTCAAAATCTTTACGGATGGGTCAAAGACACCAGAGGGCGTAGGGTGTTCTGTGGTTATCATTGGACCAAATGAACGAAACATTTGGCAGATGAGTGGAAAACTAGAAGGACATTGTACAGTCAACCAAGCCGAGAGCCTTGCAATACTCAAGGCTCTCCAGTACGTAAACACTCATTTTAACGATAAAAATAAAACTTATGTGGAAATTCTTAGTGACAGCAAGACAGCCTTACTGCAAGTCCACAAATTGAACACAAAACTGAACATCATTGCACGAACAGTAACACTTCTCCAGTGCCTATCTGTGAAAGGTCTTACAGTTTCTTTTACGTGGGTTAGGGGCCACTCTGGCATTCGGGGAAATGAGAGGGCCGACCTTCTTGCAAAGAAGGCGGCACGATCATCAACGGAACCAGTGTTTGGAGAGCTTCCCAGCTGTTGGCTTCATGAGAAACTTAAAAAACTTACTATTTCGGACTGGCAAGCCAGATGGAACAGCGAATCTACAGGAAGAACTACCCATGATTTCCTGCCTGACATTGCAAGTAGACAAAGGATGGACTACTTCACCCCCGATTTCCACCTATCCCAAATCCTTACGGGGCATGGGAACTTCCGTGTCTACTTAAGAAGATTTTTCCACAAAGGAGACGGAATATGTGACTGTGGTTCGGGGGAAGACGAAGATCCCCACCACATAATCTTCAGGTGCCCCAAGTTTAAGACACTAAGAAAGACCCTCACCGAGACTTTGTACAGGTGTAGCCTCCATTGGCCCTGTGCTCCAAAAGACTTTTTCATGAGTAAGCAGACATTAAACGCTTTAAAGAATTTCATCATGGGCACCGGGGTCACGGTACCTTCGTTCTAGGATTTTCTGGGCGTCCTAGCTGTCAGCATCACTCGGAACACCCATTGTAACCTGGCCGAACTGGCTATTTGGGGATTCCAGTCTTGTTACCACTCCCACTGGGTCCTGGCCATGTTGGCCATCAGGGGACTCTTGTGTTGTGTTGTATACCCCTGTATTATGGCCGAGTTGGCCATCTGGGGTTCTTTGCATTGTTGCTCCCCATTGTAACCTGGCCGAGTTGGCTGTCAGGGGACTTTTCGTGTTTATTATTATTATTATTTATTTATTTATTTATTTATATTTTATTTATTTATTTATTTTTTTTTTTTTTCTTTCGTGTGTAACTTTGTGCTTTTGTACTCCAGCACATTCCGGGTTGGTATTTTCAGCAGCTTGTGTCGGTTGCCCACGTGCATAGCTGTCAATTGCTCGCGTTCCCTGTCTCCCTAGAGGCAGTACCATGTGCGGGCTTATTTTCTGTATATATTTTGACCATACTGTTATCTGTGGACTATGTCCCATGTGTTGTAACTAAAGTATACTCAATAAATGGAACGCGATGTCGCCATGGTTCCCACTTCACACTTTCCTATCATTCCTTACTTTTCTTCCCTCTTCTCATTTCCTCTAAAACTCTTCATCCTTCCTTTTCAAAGGCTATGCCGTAAGGTTCGGCCTTCTAACACTTTTAAACATATCATATCATATCATTCTAACATGATTCTACTTTATAATAATGGACTTTTCGATATAACGGACGAATCAGTAATAATGAGTAATTACAATAAAACGGGCTTTTCTTATAACGGACCAATTTCTTCAATTCTGGTGATCCGTTATATCGAGCTTTAACTGTAATCAAAAGATGTAAACGTGGATCCGAAGCGATTGCTTGTATTCTTGTTTACCAAACACTTTTGCAGGAGTTTTGCGAGGCCTCGGAAAAAAGTTATTAGTGGGCCCCAAAATATTTGCAAAACATTTTTAATCGAAAAATAATATTTTATTAAACATAATTTACAAATATTAAATATACTAAGTAATATACTCGACAAAGAACAAGCATATAAATGTCTACAAGAACCTTACTTTATCTAAGAATTTGTTACATCAAGAAGAAAGAGCGCACAAAACAATAGGGGACAACAATTATTTTCAGATACTGTAACATAAATTCCTATGTAGACATAGCATTTCGGACTACCATCCCTCTTCATTAGAAAGTTAAAAAAACTTCCTTAAAATATATTTACAATTATTTTATGAAATCTTTTATAATTTCATAATTATTTTTTCAGTTTACCTTACCCAAAGGAATTCAACATATCATCTTTTCCCCTTTTAAAAGTAAACACTATAGTATTTGGTAAAACAAGTAAATAAATTTGTATTTTACTGTTTTGTTTTATTATATATGTATGACAATATAATTAGAAAAACCATAGCTTATCTCTGATACACTTAAATAGCCATAGAAATTTAATCCAAATAAAGACAAGTTATTTTTAAAATAATTTATTAACTTTAACACTACATAAAGTGTGCTATACAATATTTTCTTAATTCAGTATAGTGAGAAATGGTATTTAGGATGAAATAATAGTTTTGTATTTTTGATATGAGAAATTACATTTCTTATGACATTCACATTGGCTCTACATAGTTTGGTAATTTATATTATGTAAATAAACATTTATCATGTATGGAAGTTTCGTTTAGTTATTCCCAAGATGCCAGGAGAAATTCATTTTCTGTTGTTATATGGAAATGTTAGTCAAAACAGCGCTTCAGATTCTTCACGGTACAACTCTGAAACATCCCTAGAAATCTCGAAAATGAATACTGTCGGGTGTTCTTGGTTTGTGGAAAATTCTATTTCCATACTTATCATAAAATTTTCACACTTAAGCCACAAAACCACGTCAAGGTGACACCCATTTTGTGGTGGTTTTTTTCTTATCCAGAAACCAACCCTACTTGCTTGACAGTGAAGCAAGTAGAGAGAAAAACTGGGTCGTGCGCGAGGTCGTCATAAATAAAACGACCAATAATAATTTTTGTCCTCTTTCTTCTCCCTCTATCCTTTCGAACCCAATAAATATTCAGTCGGTCTCAAGATTTATTTTAAAATGCTTATGTAACACAAGCATTTTAAACCTTGTAGAGTTAAGCAAAAAATGGAAAACTTATGCTATTAATACTTATTATGATATAGGACTAGCGGAGACTTTCTGGCGGATCAGAAGACAGAGGTCGTGTGTACTGTACATTCGGCTCCTGTTCCGGATACCTCATCTGCGTTCTGCCTATTGATTTTGGATTGTTTTTGTTCATTTTCGGTTTATTGGTGTCAAGTGGATCATTTTAATGTATATTCCGTTAAAATCGGGTAATAATTAACAAAGTTACGGGTGTTTTTGTGCTAGAACACATGGTTTCTTTCGGTCGCTTCTGGTCTGTTACTTCGCCTAATACTTTGTGTTTTACACCGTTGGATAGCGGATGTTCTGCTGTGCAGAATTGTATATTTATTTCTGTTCTGCACAATTTATATCGTCGGGTGTGATTTCGTCTTCGTTCCTTAGAGGATCGAGGATTTTTTAAAGATCCACTTTCCATTCACGTAACAACTTTCCTGAACCGCAAATGGAAATTCACACTATTATGAAATCAATGAATCAGAAGGATAGTAGTATAGCAGTTGATATTTAATAAACTAACTGGGAAATATCGGAATTAAATCTGCACTTTAAGGCTGATCCTTTTGCGAATAGACAACGCAGTGTCTCGATACCACGTATTTTTCCTGCTCCCATAATATCTTTACCATTCACGTGTCTCTTTTCTCTTCTATCTTGTCGTCAATTATTTTACCTTTAAGCCATACCGCTGAATAAAGCCCGTGTCTTCTGTATTTCATTCTCATTGGAAGAATAATTATTGTTAGAATCAGATATGCACTAAATGACTTCAACACTTACCTTGTCAGACACTCCAACTGCAGTTCGTATTTATAAATCGAACAGTAATTGGAGTGTCTTGGTTGTTGGCGATGTGACTTTCGCCAACAACCAAAAATAAATTTTAGATGCGTTAAATTTTTCTTCAAGAGCAAAAAATCGTCGATGATACTTTTTCTCTGTTGATATGACATCATTGGGAATTGACATTTGGAGAATCGGATGAAAACCACAATATTTTCGAAGTCAAAAACCTAGATAAAAGATGGCTTTTGATCCGATATTGTAGCAGATATTCGTTTCATATTTTAGAATTTATATAATTTTCTAATAACGACCGAAGTGTCAGGCAAACCGATCCACATTTTGTTTGAAATGAAAATTGTACCTTTACAAAGAGTAATTCTTCACAAACAATCACTAGAACTATAGCATTCTATTGTTACGGAAAACAATACTTTACCATTATTTCGATCTCTTATATGAGAAAATTAAAATTTTGATGTTATTTAAACTTTTTAGCAATTAATTCAACACTAGTTATTTTTTGTAATATAAAATGCTTCATTATTCATTTCAATCAAACATGGCGACGATTGAATTTACCTTCTCAAATATGATTTCAATCCTTTACATTTAAAACAATTATTAATTTACTTTTATAATATATTTTCGATAAATATAAAAAAAAATCATTTATATTACATAAAAAAAATTACATATAATTTTCGAAAATTGTTGTCACTTTGAATTAAGAACAAAGCAAAATGCCATTCAAGTATTTTATAACATTCGAATCAAAGGAAGAGATTAACATAGCTACAAAATGTAAGCGCAAAAATAATCGATGTGTTTCCAATCTTAAAAATTTTGCCTTTCTTGAAAACTGTTTACCAGTGGTGAAGTGGATAAAACTACTGAACCCTAGTAGTTGGTTGTGAGTTCGCATTTCGCTAACGGGCTGACCAGGAGTTTTCTGAGTGTCCTTTACGTTTGTAACACCTAAATGAAGGGCAGTTTACCATAGGAAGTTCTTCCAGGAGGCATCCCCCTTCGGCAGATCGCCCATGTGTCGCGTTGCCGTAAACAAAATAAACCTAGATTCTGAAAACCATGCTCATTTCAAAGTTCTCTTTCTAATCAAATTTGGTGCTGCGAGCTAAGGGCCAGCGGGTCCACTTATAAATTAGGCATTGATTTGATATCCATCTTTAGATTAGCGGTTGGGGACGTTTTTAAGCTAATAGCACTCACAATTTTTGGTGACAGTCGGACAAGTCATCGTTATAAAGATGCTCATATTAATTTGTACTGATAAACGAAATGAGACATTAAAGGTTTGAAGTTTTTTTATATAAAAATATACAAATATTAATATTAAAATATATTTTAAATAACTTTTTGAAATTTTGAAACACCTGTATGTGAGAGGTTTGCATCACACTGGTTGAGAACCGACTTAAATAATCAACAGATAATATGAAAAAAAAACCCACCAAATTTCAGAATAATAATATTTATTATTGTTTTTAAATAATAACAATATTTTATAAACAATTTGTGTAAAATATTTTTTCTCCAAATGTAAATTTGATTAAATATGAAAAACTTTCAATTAATATGAAACAAGATATCAATTTTTTCAAACATTTTCTAAATAAAGACTACGAACATCTTCAGAAACCATCGCTTTCTCCATTTTTCCTATAATCGGCGTTAGAATGCCACTTTCCACTTTTATCGCGATGAATTGCCATTATAACTGACATGATACCTTCTCTCTTTTTGGTTTTATGACCCAATTTTTCCAATTTTCTCAGGATAGCCTGCAAGATACGTCAAGTAAAATATTATAGAAAAATAGAACGGAAAATGGAAAATTCATAACTAGAGACATCCAATAACTTACTTTAGGAAAATTATTTTCGTACGAAATGTACTCAGGGAATAACTGATGATGAACACGAAGCATATCGATTGCTTCTTTGACATTCTTATCTAACCAAAGCAATTGCATTGTTACCTAAAGTCAAAATGGCCGTTTTATTCATCTTATAGTTAATTAATTTTATAATAATTTAATTTTATACTTACTAAAGCTATTCCACTAGTGATTCGAGATCCGCCATTTCCTCCTATAACTAACCATACTTTTCCCATGTCGTCTGTGACGATAGCTGGACTCATAGAAGACATTGGTCTTTTATCTGATTCAATTCGATTTTTTTCGCTGGGTGGCAATCCGAAAAAGTTAGTGACATTCGGTATAGAAAAATCATTCATATGATTATTCAACACGATGCCGGTTGAAGGAGATACACGCTTACAACCAAAGCTAAACACAAAATTCATAATTCTTCAGTGAGATGAAGGTAACGTTTGTCTTGCTAGAAAATGTCCTCATTTTGAACAGCTTAAAATTATAAAATTGCATACTCACTATAGATTAATGCTACTGGTTACCGAAACAGCATCTCCATTTGGTGACACAACTGACACATGTCCAGTTCCACCATCTATTTTCAATAAACCGTAGTCGCTACCATAGTATTTAGGATCTTGCATTGTTCTGTCATCTTTTATCTTTGTTCGAATTTCTTGTGCGTATTTATTATCCAGTAACATTTTATGCGTCTAAATATTGTTTAAAAGAAACAAAACAATTGTAATTATTAAATCTGATAATATGCATGTTTTTAAAAGCTATGGACAGTTACATACTCTTAACACTTCCTCGTCATTAGAGTCTTCTAGTTTTCTTCTTTGACTGTATGCGAATTTAAATGTTTCTATCACTCGATGAAAGGTTAAACTAACTTTGTTTAAAGTATTCCAATCGGAGGAACTACTTAAATCAAACTCATCTAAAACATTCAACATTAAGGACAACAGAGATCCGCTTGCAGGAGATGGAGCACTATACACCGTAAAATTATTTTTTAGTTTAATCATTGTCGGAAGTCTCTGGATAGCTTGATATTGTTCTAAATCACCTTCTTTAATAATCCCTCCTTGAAATTGAAATAAATAATTTTAATTAATTTTTCTAGTATTTATTTTAAGCTACAGTATAAAAATGTACTACAGAATTATTCATGTATATAATAGACAAAAGGCTTAGTTTATTAAGAGGTTACTTAAAAATCAGAGAATAAGATCTATGGTGGTAACATTGAACCGAATGCCCATATAGCATATTCCTCCAATTTAACATAATACGTATATAAGAGCGTCTGGTTCAAAAAGATTGTAATCTAATGTATGTTTTGTATATTAAAAAGTATACAAGTTATATGTATTTATTGAACTTTTTTGAGCTATGTGTGTTTTTATAACTTTTTAGTTGACTGAGGAGGGGCAATTTGAGCCCGAAACGTCTATCCAAAAACGCGTATCAACTGAATTGGAAATAAAGATATGAAGGAATGTCAAGTGATCGATTAATTACACTACATAGTATTTATGAAACGTATAAGAATAACGACACCGTTTCAGATTAGCGAAAGAAAAAAATCTTTAGGTGTTTGTTTTGCACGAAGATTTTTGAATTATCCTGCATAATAATGTGTTAAATTTAGACTTCTACATAATAAAAAGCGTTATAGAAGAGCAATGCAGTAAGAGTATTTATTAGTTGTACTACATAACTTTTAAATTTTTGTTCTAAACTTGACCAAAAAACAGTATTGGAACAGGAGAAAGATAATGATAAATAAATATTACCCAAAGTACGATAACAATATATAATTAAAACTTATTTTATCATAATTACATAATATAACAAATTTTACCAAAATTTTGAATATCTTCGACAAATTTTTTTCTAGTCTCTCCTACTCCGTATAATTCTGCAGCTCCATTAATTGATATTTTTTCTAATGTGTTAGCCAAATCTAATCTGGTCATAATTTCTCCTTCTTTGAATACATCTCCAGTATTATTATTTATGAAAATTATTTAATATTTATTACCCGAAAAACCCATAATGACGTTATATGAATTACAGTGGTGCCTCGTATAACGTACGCTGCGAATAACGGACTTTCTGTTTTCTTTAGATATTATATCACGATTTAATTTTAGAGCTCTTGCCATGTGTTTCGTAACAGAAAAACCTTTTCTACATAAACGAATTGATGGTTCAAATAAGTCCTTCCATGGTAACTTTTTTGCGGAATTTTCGTATGCCTTTTCGTAACCAACCAATTCTCCTGGAACTGCGACTGCTAGTCCCCCTACAACATTAACATCGATACAATATATTTAATTTTGTTTTCAAAAATGTACAAAAGCAAAAGAAATAGTTGCAAAATAAAAATTAATAAAGCATTAAAAATACGCAAGCAGCAACGATCTTTGTATGGCGACATACACAAAGATGAATTGTATTGTCTCCACACCACACCACAATTAGATTCAACTGTTTCCATGTAGGGTCGAATCCCGCAATGACAGTAACGAGGTTGCGGCTGACGTTTTCATCTCTAAAACGTCGGCTGCCACCTCGCTAGTATCTCGTGAGATCTACCATGATTCCCACAAAATCTACTCTCCAGTGAGAGTAAAGTTTCAGAAACCTTCAGCTCTCGTGAAGGCAATTGCAGCTCAGTTCGATTTAGGAACCTAAGCTACAAACTCACCCAAAACGGTTTAAGTTTAAATCTATTTTACAAAATATTTCACGTAAATGCCATTTTTATAATATAAACGATGTTATGTTATTTTACGTACCTACTTGAGAGCCTTTTGGGTTAGTCATAAACATAGTTTCTGTTGCATACATAGGAGCTGTTTCCCTGGCATCTATTACTATTGCGTCCATCGTGTTACTGTAATTACAGTACTGTTATCGATTATCATTTTAACTATAATTTCCTTTTATACATACCTATTGTAAATGGTCATAAAGAATCCACCACCTAATCCCATACTTTGACTATTCACAACCCCCATACATATTAAAGTAGCAATGGCCGTTTCTATGGCACTTCCATTCTTCATCAGTATGTCCCTGAAACAATTAATCCGAAATTATTATAGTAGAATTATTACTACTTTTCAAATGTTTTTCACTAAATTCACTTACTTTCCTATTTTGGCGCACGGTGCCGTGTCTGTACTAACGGCTGCATGTTCATAGATTCCCAGTTGAGAGGAGGAATTTACGTAAAGCTTCTCTGCATAGTTATCATCTCCATAATCTTTATTTATTAAGAAGTAACACAGAATGGGTATTGTGACGAGGAAAAAGATACAAGCAACGATACCCAAGTATAGGTATTTTTTATTTTTCAAAGACATTCGTCTGGAAATGTAAAATAGTTATTTTAATTTTAAAAATAATTTTTAAAACACTTTATGAAGTTACCAGAGAGCACGCAATTAAATTATTTGCTAGAGAACATAGATAAATAAAACTTCCATTATAGCGTCGCCATATTTAGTCCTAATTAGCTTACTATATAGCATTTACAGTTCCTATTTACGGTACCTTTTAGCCTGTGAAGTTTACATAATTTCATATAAAAGTAGGCATTTTATTAATACAAAATAACGCAACATACAATATACAGTGAATGCAACAGTAACAGCTGGACAAAATATGGCGAATCAACACTTCGAATGCACTATTCTGTGTATATGTAGACAGTCTAGAGACTATGAGATGTTACATATGAAGCATTATTTGCATTTAAAATTATAAATTTTTTTTCAACAGTTTTAAAACGAAATTCATTTATGTGTTCATCCGTTAATTTAAAACATGAAGCTCAAAAATCTTAAGTTAATGAACACGTTTCTAAGCTTTTTATATTAAAAGTACTTTCGTCTATATTATTTAAGACTTCATCAGTTATAACATAGAACAAAATTAAAATATGTAAAAAAAGCAATAAAACTATTTAAGCGAAAGTTGAGTGTAGATCTGGTACAAAGCGACGATTACACCCTGGAGTGGAAAAGAACCGAAGGAAAGTGGAGCCGTTCTCATCCTCAAAAACAATCCTATAAGACAATAGGATTGTTTATGAGGATGAGAACGGTTTCGAGCAGGAATAACGTGTGTATTGTCTGCCCTGCATATTAACAATGGTGTATTTAACGGTCTCCCATAAGTAGACCACTGTTGTAGTGATGTAAGTATTGGATTTCCCAGAAGCTTTATGATACTCTTAATTTTTCTTCATTCACCGTACTGTACATTTTACATCATTCTCCCAAATTACCGCAGAGCAAAATCTTAGCTACTGCACTACGTATCAAGGAATTCTGGTTCCACGGTGGTTGAAAATTGATTTGTATAACCAAGTCAGCGAATTTAGTGAAACTTCTTATTGTCAAAACACCTCTTTTGCCTTTAGGAATTCTATGACAAGTGGATGTAAAGTTGTTCAATATAATAGCGTCACATCATCAAAAGATATTTTATACATACCAGAGAGATTCAACATGTTTTATAGGGCTTAGTCCAATATTGAACATTCTAAGGGAGCAACAATAGCTTATTGCTGGACGAATGGGTAAAAATCTGGTAAGACGTTTATTTTATTGAATATTATCCTTTTATTCTTCTTTTAAATATTTAATAAGAACATTTTTCAAAAGTTGTTATTCCAAAAAGAAAAATTTCTTTACTTATGTTAGCAAAAGACGAACGTGAAGTCATTCTTCCAAATAACATTTTCTTGTAAAGAACGTTTTTGAAGACCTCCCCTCTAAAAAGGAATGTTATTAGCAATTTGTAGTAATATCAGATTAAAATAAACATATATTTATAAATTTTTTTATACCAACAATTATATAAATCTGTACAAAGAACCTGTTAATCTATAGTCGTAGAAAGACAAGAATAGAAATATGGCTTGAATTTATACAGCTAATTTATAACATGGTTGATTCAGTTACGGTTCGAATCTAGCCGGTTACGTAAAATCAGGCTAGATTCATGAATCAGAGATGACATAACCTAAAATTCCTACTATTGGCTACCGCTTGACATGTGCTTTTCAACTCTCGCTAAACCGACAATAGAACTTTTTTTGTTTTTTCTGAAATTTATTCCGATCGTTCTATTCTGTTCGAATATCTTATATCTCATGAAGCATTAAATAAAGTAGACGAAAGTATATAATATAGAAATAATAATGCTTTTAACGTTGTTCTGTGTTATACATTAAGTTATATTTGTTCACAGTGTCGGATTCTGCATCTGTTTACTAGTTTACAACTTTTAAGATATGCCAACATATTAATGAAAGTTGGTATGAAATAATATTATAAAAAAATGAACAGTTTAGATTAATTTCAGTAGATATATTCGGTTTTAAATATAAAATTCTCGAAATTCTAGAGATTACATTCTATAAGACGTTCTAGAATGAATCTAAATATTACAATTATAAAACGGAGTGGTTGCATTTTAGAACAGGGCTTCCCAACGAATCGGTATTGAATCATTAGGGGCCTTTTCATGTATTGACCCTTTCAAGAAATTTTAAAAAATTTCTTAAAAAGGTCAATACATGAAAAGGATGGAGAATCCCAGTTCTAAAACTTTTATTTACTAGAAAATGATATTAAATTAAATTTTAAATATTTTGCAATATTAATTAATAATAAATATCTATTTCAAATACTCACAAAAATGAAGTGTCCATCGTAAATATTAACTCGAACTCAAATATTCGAATAAAAGATAAGAAAATTTACGAAATTCAAAGATTCGAATTAAACAACTCGTTTAAATAACTTTTATTCTGAATAAATTCGAATTTCATGAGCATGCTCCGTATTAATATTTAATTTTTTCAATGAAAAAGTTAAATATTAATACGGAGTATAGTGCAAATGGTAACAAATTATTATTTTTGCACTACCTTGTCGCAAAAAATTCGACGTAAGGAATATTCATTTTGAAGAATAGGCCTATTAGCATCATCAGAGAATAGCAACAAGTGTCGCATATTAATTAATCTAATAGCTTATTAATAATTTCATATATTTTAAATTTTCCGACTTCTTAGATGTAATCACTTGACTTTAAACATGCGGCGCACGCTAAGCAAAGCCCAGATAATTCGCCCCTGCTTAGATGTACGAAATAATTCAAATATAAATCGAAAACGGCGCAAATTATCAAAAGTTACCTCAGAGTAAACATTGTTTATATTTTCACGTTCTTTCGATGGTATCATTTTTGACCGTATATAACATGGAAATTTAGCGAGAAACTCCTTATAAAACACCATAATTCGGACGAATTCAATACATATATTAACTGTTGGACATTTATGTCCTTGTATCTTGTTAGATTATTACAAAACCATATTTTCTGTTCTTATTTGTTGCAAAATGAACTGTTTGAATAGACAAAAATGTTACCAATTTGCATAAAGAAGAGAAATAAAGCTACAATGTTGTACAGTCACCAGCAGAGCTTTGATTGTTCCTTGATAGCAACTCTTTTCCTGTTGCAATTTGAAATAAACTTGCCAAACTTCGAGATTTCTATGAATGTCCGCAATTTACCTGCACTATTGCGCTATGGGTAGCATGTAAATCAAAGTATTTATCTCTATCGGTAACAGTTGCTTCTGTAGAAAGAAGCAATGCAATTTTCCATTGAAGATCTTAAATAACTATTTATATCAATGTGCCAAAAGATGAAAAGAATGGCGATCAGTCAGAAAATGACCACTCAGATTTTTACATTTTTGGACTCAAAGACCTTAAAACATCGAGAAATGCATTAAAAAATTCGGGTTTTTTCTATACGTATGGCACATGTTGATGTGTGTGGCACAACCTTGTTTGAAGCTTGATAGGTCCTGTGCTTTTAGTCGAAAATTTTTGAAATTTTGCAGGGAGGTTTTGTTATTAGAAAGATTGATGTTAAATTTTGATGAATAAAGGTCGAGGGGTAAAACAGATAATGGAGGTCGTGTCTCATATCTATAGTAGGGTCTGATTTAATGCAGATTTTACATTTACAATTTTTATAAAACCCATCTCTAAATTTTGAAAATTAAGCTTTTTGCCAATTTATAACAGTTAAAAATATAAAACTTTTTAACAATAGAATATCATAACAGATGGTGCCACCAAATGTTGCCGGTTAAAATAAGCTACTCGTTGATGATTTTTTAAATTGTAAATATTTTATTTGTTTCAAGAAAAAAATAATAATAATTTATCATAATCAACACCTTGTATAATATTAAAATACACAATTTATTTATAATACTTCTATATTTAATTCAAAAGACTTATCTTAGTATTTTTATTAACTCTATTCTCCATAGAAAAAGCATTATTTCAAAATATTAGTTAGGAAAATCACAATTAAAAATGAGATTTCATCGTTTTTGAGCCATTATTATGCAATATTATTAGCAATATTGATTGATAACAGTATTTATAGTTTGTATAGTAACATTGTAATATTTATACTATGAAACATGATAAACAAAGATAATGCTCTTCGCTTTACTTATTAATTAGACCGTTATTCATATTGATTTTTATTGTGGATAATTTATTACGTGTAAAAGGACAATCTAAAGTTGCTTTAAAATGTAAAACAGTGCTTCCGATAGCCAAGTAGGGTTTTATTATATCATAATTTGAATGCAATTTAATTTAATTTATAAATTCATAAAAAAACTTAGCTATTCACTAATGCTTTTCCTTGCTTAGGCACCGGAAACAAAAGGCACATTATTTGGACTGACTGAACCAACATTCGCTGATACGCACAACCACAGCTGATAATAAAGTGTTTAAATTTTGGCAACATATTGTATAATCTCGTGAAAGGGGTTAAGTAGATAAAAATCGAAACCAGATGTGGAAAGTTTAGGGGCAAGAGGCCCAGATTAACTATACATGAACTTCAGGTCTGAAATGGATGTTACGTTACTTCGATTCAAAATTTTCCCCTGAACGGAGTTAGATAGATGACCGACACGACTCTATTGCTAACAGGAAAAGTATGATGTACAGGGGCCCCACTACCACAAAGAATTGAGGACATTGCGACGAAAAGTTGCAGCCCGGCATTGTGATTATATCACAATAAATAATCGCTCGTTAGAATTAATTTGGTGTTTATTTGGTCCTATGAAGATCCTATGCATCCTATGAAGACTTTAATGGAAAAGTGCATGAGCGGATATAGGTTTTTCGGGGCCTAAGGCTTATTGAAGTTCAATGAGGCCTTATTTTTTGTTAATACATGTAATACTAGAAATTACCATTAATATTAACTATTTTTTATTATACGGTAACTGCTCATTGTTAATGAAAAAGTATTAAAAATGTACGATAATAATTTAATTTTTGTGGGCTCTTGATAGTTAGGGACCCAGGGCTTAAGCCCTACTAGTCTCTATGTAGATCCGCTCTTGTTTATAATTGGTAGTAATTAATGAATATAATGACGATGTAACGCACGATGTAATTGTTGTGACGTCCCGAATCAACAAGCAATTTTTTCGATTGTTTGACTCGACTTTCGTTGGACACTCTCCATATGTTTGTATAGATTTCGATGAGAAAGATCTCCGAAAGGTAAATAATTTTCATGTATTGATGTACTGAGAGTATATTAATTATATTTAAATAAAATCTTTGCATATTAATGGCGTTCTTAGCGTTTAAAAGTCTAAACTACCGTGTTTAGGTCCACAGTGTATGGGAAAAAGCGGACCCGTTAGTTTCCGTTCCTGAATTTTAAAGTATGAGGAGTTTTAAGAAAGGCTCACAAAGCGGAAAAAATAAAAAATAATAATAAACCATAAACATATTAGAAGAAGTCTTTAGAGAAATCAGTTCTATAATTACAGGAAAGAAGGATATAATGCTTTAATAGAATACAAACGATTTGACGTTTATAAGCCTACCTTCTTTATATTTTATAAATTTATAAGACATATTTTACAGAAAATTGTAATTGAAACATTTGTAATTTTTAGTATTTAATTAATTTATATGCTATATCATGCGCGACGTAATTGATGTGACAATAGCAATTGTTTCGAATTCTTCTATTTGTTTATTGTTGAACATTTCAAATAGTATTGTAAATCGGAAAATTTATCTGGTAAGAACTTATAATATGCTAATTTTGTATTAATTATGTCAATAGTATCTAAATTTTTTTATGAGTTTCAATTTGTTGATGCATCAATTTAAGATAGATTCGAGAACACGGAACCTACAGTATTAAATGCAATACTAATAGTGCACAATGTAAAATCGGTTTCATTTACTGGAAAACATTAAAATTAATTTAGGAAAAAAAACACTCGTAGAACTGAATTTCATCATTGTTTAAGCCCAGAAACTTGCAAAAGATGCTGAAAATGGTGTCGTTGCACATGTACGCATCTTTCAATATGAGTAATCATCATATCACACGTGAAGACTGGTATAATATAGAAGCTTATATCTCTATATTTTTAAAAAATTTTCAAACAGCAGAAAATTCTATATAAAATCTTTTTATGCCAATGTTACTTTACAGAAATACTGTCACGTGAGTACAGTCGATGTAGAGAGAAGATTTTCGTAGTATAAAAACATTCTCGTTGAGCTTGGTCGTATTCAAACAGTTGTTTATACCATTGTATACTACATTAATTTAGCAAAGAGATCACTGAAAAAAATTTTGTAATTTTATTTTTTTTCCATTTGTTTTTATTATTTTTTCGTTCTGAGAATAAATCCGAAAACGTTATCTTTCCTATCCGATTTCGGATTCGAAACTTCACCTTCATCGATCCGAAAAATACGGGGTTTACTTATAAATTTTATAAGAACTGTAAGATATAAATATTCGGATTAGATATTTTAAATATTTTTATTTATTATTTATTATTACGCATACTGGATACACTCCTTGATGCGGGGAGCAAAACCTTCTCCCAAAAAAAACAAGACACTTAAAGGTATTTTAACCGTTGATATGATATCAACGGTTAAAATACATTTAGTATTTTAACGGTTAAAAGTAAAAAAAGAATGTACAATGATATTTATTTACCAAAATAAAACTGTATTTAATTAATACATGAACAAATACAGAAAGAACAGACTTCTGTGCTACAGAACATGGGGAAATTCGACAAACAGCATGGGAAGAAAACACCGACAATGGAGATGAACCCAATACAAAATTCATATTTCTTGACACACTACACACAATCCTTGGCACACAATCCTATGCTTCAAACAGTACTAAATATGTAAAGATTCATATTTAGTACTGTATAACAATACTAAATATGCACTAAATACTAAACAGTACTAAATACACTGTATATCCAGTTAATCACATTTTCTCAAAGCTTTCGTAAAAATCTACCAATGAGTTGTTTAACTTTCCCGACAACATTTAAAACTACATATGGCACCATCTGTTATGATATTTTCTTTAAAAACTTTTTATGTTTGTAATTATTATAAAACTAGCAGGTGGGCCCGGCGTTGCTCGGGCAAAAGTAACGATAACTAAGATAAAGATTATTACGTTACAGTCAACCTTACCCGTTTTCACAGAATGCAAGAATTGGGTCCCCTTGTTTCCAGACTAATTAGAAAATTTTTAGATGGGTCTAAAAATATGTTCGATTTCCCGCAAAAACGAAAAAAACTGCATCTGCGTCTTGCACGTCGCTTTCTCTTAACAATTCCATTGTTACGTAACATTTCCATTGTTGACACTTCCATTGTTACTTAAAACTTTTATTGTTACTTAAAACTTCCATTGTTACTTAACACTTCCATTGTTACTTAGCACTTCCATTGTTACTTAACACTTCCATTGTTGATGGAAGTGTTAAGCCTTAATCCTGTCCCTCTCCCCCGTGGGGAGGAATTTCGAAAAATCCCTTCTTAGTGTGCGTTCTCCTAACGTACCCTAACTGTGTACCAAATTTCAACTTTCAACTCCTAACCGTTTGGGCTCGTATCCATAATGTATATAGAAGTTTTAATCCTGTCTCTCTCCCCCCCGGGGGAAATTTCGAAAAATCCCTTCTTAGTGTGCGTTTTCGTGACGTACCCTATCTGTGTACCAAATTTCAACTTTCAACTTCTAACCGTTTGGGCTCTGCGCTTATTATTATTATTATTATTATCATTATCACCAACCCGTCTCGATTATATATTAGATGGCAAAAGCTTAATTTTGAGGGTATGGATGAGTTTTATAAAAAAATTGTAAACGCTAATAACGAAAACGAATAAAATCGTCATTAAGTCCGATTCTACTGGAGATATGACACACGATTCCCATTATCTCGCCACCTCGTCGACCTTTAATATAATACACTTTGAAACCATTCAAAACTTATTTAATTTCTAACATATACGTTTAATTATTATAATAATATGTATTTCGGTTTTTATTAAAGGCATCTTTATTTAGCCTTTTTTGGTCAAATTATAAATTACATAAAAACTCAATATCACATCATCAATGTTGTGATATTGAGTTTTTAGTGTGATCGCATTTAAATGAATATATTCTATTTTGTCAACTAAAATGTTACTGGATCAAAATCGCTATTGCGCTTCAAGTGTTACCGATTAAGAAAGAAATTGCCAAAATTGTCCATCATACAGTAGTGCTCTGATACTTTAAAAATTGTAAAGAACTGTAAAGTAATAATTAGAAAGATGAATGACCTAAACTACTTTATAGTTTAAATAAAAACCTTTGACGCTTCTGTCTTTAATATATAAAAATATAAATACAAATAAATATTAATATTTGATAGAAAAAATTATGCTTACCACTGAATACTGATAGTGTTAGTTGCAAGTTCGTGACTTTACAATATGTTGGCTACGTGAAGTTTTCCGGATCTTTTCACGTCTTTTACACCTAAATACGGACCAATTTTCATAAAAGTCTTCCCTGGAGGATTCCCCTTTGGCAGATCGCCTACACGTTGTGTTGTTATATCCCTCCACCAAACCAAAACAATCAATAAAATTATTATATGTATTATTACGTGTACAATATACGCGCCTTTCTTAAATTATTTGCAGCAGTTTTTCCGCCCTGTGAGCACTAAGATGGATTCTTTTTAGCATGCTCACTTTAGGTTCGGCCAAGACCACAATGAGACGACATGGTGGTGTGGGATAGGATTTGACACATTCGGACGAAGCATCCTTCGAAAAATTCCTCGAGAATTTTTCAACTCGTCTGGATTTGTTTATTCTAGGTTGACACCTGAACTGAACGTGTTCATTGCCAGAATTAAGCTCTAACTACAGCTGTTTGACACTTATTACACTACAAATCCTTGTTTGCCTACAGCCAAGGTTAATCTGTGCCTATCGCATTATAATAACCGCTCGGCCATCTGGTCGTAATTTGCAGCAGCAGCAGCTTGTGTATTAATGCATGATTAATTTCAAGTAAAGATGAAATTAGTATGTCGGCTTTAGAATTAAATTCACTCCACTAATCGGAAACAGAAAGTAAAGCGCAATAGAATTTTATTACACACGTTAAGTTGCATATATTTAGAATGAATATTAATATAATTTATTTTGAAAAATATTAATTCTTTTAGAATAATAATTTCTTGACTCGTCCGATTTTCTTAAAGCATTCGCACTTTTAAATTTTCATGAATTTTTATTTATGTATTTTTAATTCGAACGAAAAGAATTTCAGTTTTATCCTCGAGGTGGCACTTTAAAGTTTAAGCATCCAGGAATTTCTTGTTTTTGGAACGAACGGTAAGTCCGTTTCATTCCAATCATTTAGAAAATATTTTAAATATTTTATAATATTAACACTTTATTATTTAATATTTTACAATATTGAAGTTTCATATCAACAAAATAACTTAAAACATATTAATTGACAATAAATTTACTCATTATAATTAAAAAAAAACTATTTAAAAAAATCGAACGAAATTGTTTAGGCCTAATTCAATTACAATTTAATTACAATTAGGCTTAACTCACAAATTTGCCGAATTACATCATTTACTCAATTACAACACGAATTTTTTATGCACAAATAACATAAAATTAATATTATAAGCTAAATTATGGTTATTTATTTGTATATATTGATACATTTTGAATCCATTATCATTATTTAAATCTTTTTCCATGATCTAGAATATTTTAAAAGTCCGTTATTTTTGATGAAATTATTGAGGTTAAAATAAACTGAGCGTATTCATTGCCAGCGTTATGCTCTTAAGTACAGCTGTTTAACGCTTGTTACACCACAAATCCTTGTTTGCCTACAGCTCTTAATTAAGGTTCCAAACGTATCATTCAGAGCTTGAATTGAGCCAAGTAAAATGTGTGTTTACTCCAGGGAGAACACTACAAAGGCGCCGATAATTACTGCGATCCACGCGTTATGTTGACTGAAGGAGGAATCTCCAACTTTTTAGAATATCAATCTTATATTTCTATAATACAAATAAAATCCTATATAAAATGAGAATTTATTTTATGACACGGTAGAGTCCACTTATATATTACCATTTTGGACTCTCTCTTGACAATAACTGTCGTTAAATGAGGTTAATAAGGCAGAAATTAGTGGAAATTTTTATCGATATTATAAGTAAATTTAAAGTAAGAAATGATTTTTGAAAAGTTTCTACCCCTCCCCGTTCTCTCGTCTTACGTCACCTCTCCTCTGCACACGTGTTCGGCAATCCACCGTTTGTTTCAGCATTTGGGGATTAGTTTGCCTGATGATGCCCGTTCACGTGCGAAAACGTTTGCACTTTTTATAAAAAAAAAATTACTGGTTTATAGGTTTAGTGTTTTTAAGAATATCTTATAAAGGGAAAGGAAGTGTATCAATAATTGTTATAGAATTGATGAAGAATATAAAATGCTTATTAGAGAAATTGAATGATAATGTTTGTCAGAGTTTATAATGCTAAGATTATGTTTACGTTTGAAACCTCCTATCCGTAATATGTAATTATTTGTGAATGAATTGGTCGTTTGAAATGTGACTGGTTATATTGCTTATTGACAGAAGACGTGCGATAATTTGACGCGTTCTCTTTACTGACCCATACTGTACTATTGATAGATGATACTAGAAAATCTACTTCCTTGTCGAAGATAACACTAGTAGGAGAAATACGTACAAAATGACATAGGCAACATAATTCGAATTTGCCGGTCTCAAGCGCGCAACTGACCATGACACCACGTTATCCGAACGGCTTTTACTAACCTGTCAAAATGTGAACGCACTCCTCTCATTCACCAGGGTGTCATGGCCGACGACAAGAAATGATACGTTATGAGTTTTTTCCTTGTAACAAGTTTTTTGTATAGATGGTAAGTTTTCCACTATTTTATCTATTTGTGTAGCATTTATTTCAACCCTCAAGAATTTGTTGTTGCACTTAAATAACTTTTTCCATTAAAAATAACATCTTTGTGTTTATTTTATAATTTTGTTTTTTTATAACGTTATATGGACATACACAGGCAACAGACATAATGACATACCTGTCATTTAGTTCATAAGAGCTTAGTCCAGGAATTTACCTTAACCTCTTAACGTTTTATTAATTATAAAAAATGGCTTCCAAAAAAGTCTTTATTGTTTAAAAGAAATTTTAGTATAAAACTTTATTTCCTTTCTTACGTATTATTTACAAACTTATTATCTTTCACGTAACAAAAAACGTGCAACGAATCACGTGACTCGACAAATATCTTTAGTTTTAACTTCTACTCCTAATATGAAGGCAATTAAATCAAAAAATGAGTCCAAAGCTCCGCCAGAGAAAAAGAGACGAAACATTACTAAAAAGTTACTTGAAGAAAAAAATTTTTCCTGATAACTCTCGTGATGATGAAGAAGACTGTCCATGCATATATTGCAATGACCTTTTTTCCCGATCTAAGCCTGAAGAAGACTGGTTACGGTGCTTAAACTGTTTCCGTTGGGCTCACGCTTCTTGCGCTGACGTTTCTAAAAGAGCCAAGTGTTTCATTTGTGAACTTTGTCAGTAATTTTATAGTTTTTAGGTGCATGTCATTTTGTCCTTACATGATGTGTCATTTTGTCCATAGTATACGGACAAAATGGATTTTGTATGATCTCAATTAAACTAACAATATTTTTTTTCTATTATTTTAATATTGTAAATGTTTAGTATGTTTCATAGGTAAAGAACCAAAGATGATTGGTGTAGCATATAACAGTGCTGTGATTTACCAATAAAGAGTTATGAACCTAAAAGAAAACCGTATGTCATTTTGTACGTATTTCCTCTATAACAGTTGTATTTACGATCTGAACTCATGACGAATATCATTTTAGCTATTTTAGAATAAAAATTTACACAACAAACATCTGGTTTTTTTTATATTATGAAAATGTTTCTTGCAATATTTACAGATAATTTTCTGTAATAGGAAAACGAAAAACAAAAAATGGAAGGCGAATTACCTTCGAAAAGTATTGAAGAAATAGAAAATGCACACTCAAGTTTAGATAAAATCGATAAAGATATGTTCATTGACGAAGACCTTACATCTTCCTTTAATCTACAATCTCTTAGTACCATTGTCGACGATTTAATAGAACCGAACGTTAGTTTACAAGATTGCAACGAGTTAGTGGATCAGGCTTGTTACTCAGAGTTAACTCGAAAATCTGGAAAAAATACAGTTGAAAATTGTAATCTGTCGTTAAGTTTAGTTTTAAAAAACGATGAAAATGCTGATTTAATGAAGGATCGTGACAGCAAATTATCATCTACTCCGATAAAGCGTAAGTTGAAGAATCATGAACTTTCAGACATTAGTGTTGATAATTTGACATGTGGTGAAGAAACAAACCACAACAGTGACAAAACTAATTTTGCTGTCTGTGATATGTCTATCAGTGCATTATCTGATAAAAATGATGATATAATTACGTGCAAAGTTTCGGACGATAAAGAGGAAAATATCTTTACTTCATGCAATAGTCCTCAAGTCTCTCCAATTGCTAAAAATCAAATCTTCGAACTCAGTCTGTCGGCCAGTGCTGCTGTAGAAAATCTGAATACAAAAAATGAGAATTTAGTTTGTAATTATAAGGTTAACTTAGATAAGCCTGACAAAGAAATCATTAATGAATTAACTTCTGATAATACAACAAAAAATGCATTTCAGAATGAAAAGCTTGAGGTTAAAAATGAGTCAAATACTATTTTAAATGATAAGGAGAAAGACGATCTTGCAGAACAATTGACGGAAGTTAATAAGGATTTATCATTAAAAAAGGAAACAAATGTAATAATTTCGAAAGAAGGACCTTCAGCTGAATCAGAAAATTTCGAGCCTTCCCGTAAACAAACGCAATCGAATAAGATTGAGAAAATAAGAAAACCGATTCGTATTGTACGAAATCGGATTAGCTGTAATAAAGACAATCATTTAGAGAAACGAAACGAAACGAAAACCGGAGAATCGTCCGAAAAAGAAGCAAAAAAACCAAAATATATAATCGAAGATCCTTTAGAAATCAGGGATATAAACGATCCGGAATGGGAGAACGTGAGATGTTTGAATACGGATGACGAACGTTACAGCGCAGTTAAAGCTTGTTGGGGTTCGACAAGCGTACCCAATCCAAACAAGGATCTAACAAGACACAACTACAGATTACGTAAGATGAAGAAGGAAGGTTACAAAGCAGCAGAAAACGATATGAGAATAGGAAAACGAACGGCTACTAGCGAACCGGTAGACATCATCGATAACAAACGTCGCAAAGTAGAAACAGCCTTTTGCACGGAGATTCTCGATCGGAAGATCGATCAAGAGCATCAGCTGTACAAAGAAAGACGCAATCAAGAAGAACAGAAATATTTCATCGACGTACAAAAGGTCAAGTACAAAATCTGCAAAAACAAACAATTACTCGAACAAGAATATTTGCAGAAGATTGAGAAAACTAAATCGTCATCTAATGTTTATAATCCTATTAGTAAGAAAGTGAAAGAGTGGAAGATTTCTAAAGAAGTAATGTTAAGAGATCAAGAAAGTCGGGAAATTGAGATTGCGAAAAGACGTTTCGCTGATGCTAACAAGAGACTAGAACATAATTTCAATGTGACTTTAAATAAACTTAATAAAGCTAGAGATGAAGTACTCAAATTTAATCAATTTTACTGTGGATTGAGTAAGTTAAATCCAACAGTACTGGAAGGTAAAAGACTTGAAGAGGTTAGAATAATCGAAGAAATGTATAACATCTATGATAAAGTTTATGCACCCGCTCGTATGTAAGATATTTCTTTCCATATATTAACGTTTAAGGAATAAAAATTTCGTTGCTGATATCTCAGTTTTTAAAAAATTACGAGATTAATTTTATCAGTTATTTTAATATTTTGAACGTAATGTTTCCTGTTTACCAGTCCAAAAAAACGAAAAAAATTAGTATATATTGATAACGTGACTTGTTTACCAATGAATTTTTCCATTAAATGTAAAATAGATTTAATTTATTAAAAATTCTTACTTTAATGAAATTTTTCTTGTATTTGACTGCTGAATTTTCAATCTTCATGATTAATTTACTAGATATTTTTATTGGCATACTTTTAAAATGATTATTTTTTATAAGAGACACGTTCTCTAGATAATCCTACGTTTTTTGGTCTAAGAATCTGTGCGTTTTGAATGAAATTTTATTCTCTTACACTCAAAAACTTGCTTGTTAGAGTGCAGTTTATGCGGCTATGTTAAGTTACAATGAAATTTTATATGGAACTTAAGGTAGAGATCATTGTCTTTTCATTTCACTAACAATTTTTACTGATGATAAAATTAAAATAAAAATTGTTCTAGCGAGTCTTCGTTGTTCGGTCGAGGTATCACTGTATTTGATTAACGCGATTTTGACATACGTGGTAGCATTGAGGGATTAATTAACTACGTTAATCAAGGGATACTTTTATGTGTGTGTGTATATATATATACATTATGTAAAAATATACAATATATATAATGTTACTAATACATAGAAAGAAAGCTATATTTAGGCTAAGCCATACGTCACAATTCATTTTCGCAGGGTTCTCTACAGTTAATATGGGACAGATGGAGACCGTACACAGTACACCTACCAAATTTGACAAATATGCTATCAATTAGAGATATTCGGAAAAATGTAGAAAAACCCATTGATAAACGTGTTTCTATTGTTACGCAATAAAATTTTCTTTGTGACAACAGCAGTAGCCTTCTGTAACGTTGTCATAATGTCGCATTAATTTGCCCATGAAATTTAATTCATTTATTTAAAATTTGTTTTTTTTTAATATTTTGAATAAATGCCTGAAAAAAAGTTCAGAGTTTATTTCTAAACATTTATTATAAATTTAAATTTTATTGCATTATGATTCATTTCAATAAAAAATACAGATATTAGTTTATAATCATGTTGCATTTAGTAGCAATAAATATTATTAGGTTTGAATCCTACTTTTCTTTAAAATTTTTTATTACAATATCTGTTGTTGTTATTAATTAGCAGAAGATAACAGACGCTGCTCTGACTAATGCTTATTATAACCCTTATGTATACTTGGTTATACGATCTCCTGCAAATGGCATTAAAAATAAGTAGTAAGTAGCTAAGTAAGCAAATGATATAACATGGTGGTTCCCAAAGTGGACGTTATCGCCCCACGAGGGCATTATCATCATCAAATAACTCTTTATTACTTAGTACTTTATTACTTTATTACTTAAGTAGCCTGATACTGCCTGGCATAACCTGGCATAACCAGGCAAGAAATTACAGAAGAGATTACATCGATGCTGATACCAATTGCAAAATAATCCGAAGACAAATGTTGGGAAAGTAGTAGAGAAAAAAAAATAAACAACATAAGATAAAAGGAAAAAAGCAAAAATAAGCCGACTTTAAACGGCGTAGACCGCCATTGTTATTGTTCAAGGAACACTGGCAAAAGATTACATTTACATCTATTAACAATAACTAATCGAATAGTGAGATTATAGTCACTGTACCGACGCCATGTTGTTTCGGCACCGCCGTAGAAGAAAATTTAAAAAGTTTTTTTCGATATAAAATATTTTAAGAATTGATTAAAAGTTTTTATAATTTAAATGTATAATTTGTAGTTTGTCGATAGAAATTTAGCGAATGCTTTAAATATGAAATTATACATACAGATGAACCTGTCTATCCGGATTTTCACGAGAAAGAAATGTGAATTTGAGATAAACGGGTTTCGGGATATAGAGGTTCCAACACTGTAAACAATAATTGGTTTGATTGGAGGTACGGTATTTTATCAATATTATACCATAGCAGTACAGTATACGCTGAATTACGTAAATAAAGAAAACATTGTCAACATTTCTTAACAGAAAAGGTTTTTGTTAATTGTTTCTAGTGGCTGTCTTTCTTCAAGCAATAAGAGGCAAATCGATCGGAAAAAAGCCTACCACAACAGATGTTTCCTTGTACTATAAGAGATGTTTCTCACCTTCAATTTATGCTATCAAAATGTAGTGTTGAGCTGTGTGTGAATTTATGCTATAATTCAAATGATGTCACATAAGCAACCAATGACAATCATTTCTCTTATATGAGAGAACTTTCCTTCTACGATCTTGCCGTTTCCCGACCTGAGAGTATATAGGGCTCGTGTGTTGAAAATGCGTTCTTTTTGACACTGCCGGTATCATATTGTATCATACGATTGTCGTCGTAGCGCTGTGGTGTTTATTTATCTTAATCGCCTGCATTCACACAGAATATAGGGGAAAGTGAAGATCATAGAGCTATCAAAAAGTGGAGGGCAAGCGGGATAATAGGTTCGAGTTAAAGTAATGACAGTTTCCACGTAAAGAAAATGTATTATAAGGAAAATCATTATATTGTGTGACAGGAAAATGTAGACAGTTTCGATTTGACGCGATTCGTCTTAGCTAGGTTTGCTGTACATAAAAACGACGTTAGAAAGAAGGTGACAACTTCAACTTACACAGAACCTATTGAACCTATTTATTATGACATTTAAACTGATGTATGACTATTCTTAACCAAATTTTATTCTTAACCTGAGAAATTAATTTTAAAAAAATCTCATGTTTGAAATGAAAATTGGAATCTAAAACTATAAATATGTTTCAATTGATCACGAGTAATTCCATTTTTGATTTCCTATAAATGAAAAATAACAACTTACCTACTTACCGAAGTTTATTTATAATGAAAATTATTTCGGAAAATCTCATAAAAAGGAGGAAAAACGAGAAAATTTGCACTTAATTCAAGTTTTGCAGTATTATGGCAGAGATATTTGCATACCCTGCGAAAAATGGAGTAAGTATACACTATACAGGTATACCTCGACTTACGTCGTTTCGAGTTACATCGTTCCCGATTATACGTCGTTTGTCAAAAAAGTATATGGAAAAATAAAAAATCAAGTTTAAGTCATTTTATTCGACTTTACGTCTGTCCGCCACAAATATTGAAGTCGTAATATCACTAGAAAAATGTTTAAAGCACATAAAATCATATTATATACATTTACAAGTATATACTGTATTTACAGTACATGCATTCGTAAATTTAGATTACTTTTTTCTGTACTATATTAAAAACTAATATTTATTTGTTTATAAGCTTAAAATAGATCCTTATTAACCATATATTATTAAAAATGCATTCATAAATAAAATACAAAACCGGGAATTGTAATTTATGGTTTAGCCCAGTGACAAGTAGATTCGGAGACAAGTAAATTCGACATACGTCGCCTCTCCTGGAACCAGTTATCGACGTAAGGCGAGGTATACCTGTATTTATTCCATGCTGCGAAAGTGATCGGTTGCTGGATGCGTATTACGAGATAGTTACGTGGTGGTTTTTACAATACAGCGTAAAAGTAGTTTTGATCTGTTTGTTATTTCTTTTGAAAAATTATTGGGCCTTATTGGTAAATGTCACAAATTGTGGTCTATGTTGTTTTTTTTATTGAGAAAATGAAATTATTTTTTATGTAATTTTGAGGTAATATTTTGCTGTGTTTTTGTAGTTATTACCCATACAGTTCGGTTTATATTTTGGTTTGTTTTGTATTTGTGAATCTTGGGAAACTCTCCGAGACCTTTTTGTCTAGGCCATCGCAGTTTCGGCCGGGTGGTAAGGGACACAACTCGATATATCCGATTTACCCACAAAAATTCCAGAGTTTCCTAGCCCATCCTGATTCGATACTCGGTCTTCAGAGCCATAGGCCGCTCTTAACCGCTCTGTTTCACCAAAAGCTATTAATACGTCTTTTTATGGAGTGAAACCGTATCCTCGAACTCTTTGTTTAGATGGGGAGGCATACATTTATACAATTACACGTCGACAACCAGACGGTCGAACCGTAAAGGTGATAGCCTACCGCTCCGGGGCATCCAGGATCAAAACCTGAGAGAAGGGAATTTAATATGGGAAACCCATTTTGTTTCTTCAGCACGACAAAGTGCATTTGATTAAGATTCGTGCTGAACAAACAAAGTAAATAAGAAGACACGGTTTCATATTTAATCAGGAAAATCCAATAAGGGAATGTTGTTCTCTTGAGAAAACGTACGTAAATATTCCAATAATCTACATAACCCTTATATTAAATAAAGTGACTTATCCGTAATACGAATTCGTTTAAAATGGATTTCTTCTATGGTAATTTGTTGTTAGTTGGCTCATGTCGACTTCCAAATGTTACATTTCAGTTTTGTATCCTTTACTGAAATACGGTGTTTCTGTCTTTCCCCCTTTCCTCGATTATTCTGCAATTTCTCAGCTTTTTCTTCCGTTATTTCTTCTGAAACAATAAAAAAAAATTCGGTATTTTTCTTGGAAAGTGCCGGTGATACGAAAATGGCGTTTGGATTCCGACCAACAATAATGGCGTTTGTATTGTCGATTCGGTAACAATCACCGATGAAGCTGGAATCTAATTGTTATCGTCGATGACGTTCGGCGAATGACGTCACGTTATGTATAAAAGAAAAAAGACTAGTTTAAAAATTCGAACATTCATCTTTAGAAGAAAATAGAAGACTGGGTTATACCAACTTATACTAAATAAAACAACGGTTAAAATTCCGGAACAAATTTGTGAGATATTGTGTAAAGAACTAGAATTTAATGGCCCGATAGAATTAGATTAAAATAAAGCTAAAATCACCATCAGTAATAAAATTAAGAAATGTATTACTAGAGTAAGAGAGAAAACAAAGGCTAGAGATAAAAATTATTTTCAATGAAAAAGTCAAATTTATAAATTAAATACATTTTTAAATAGAAATGAATTTGAAATCGTTAAGGCTGATAAATGAAAACAAATAATAGTAGTTGACAGTGAAAATGTATGGCAGGAATTGAATATAGGATTGATGTTTTATACGTCACTACAACTGAATATAATAAAAACCTGTGGGGTATAGTCGAAACTAAAGAGATTTTCTATATTATTGGTATAACTCGTTCTGCAATTTCTTATAAGTTTATTGCACGATCGAGAGCCGAAATCCCAGAGGGACTTATGAATAGCCTTGTATATATATATATATATGTCTATATATACAAAGAAAAGATGTCAATAGGACATCAATTTATTACCAGGAAATTTATTTGTTTATTTTCTTTACGTGTGTATTTAAATGTACATTCGTATTCTACTTTTGATGGCGCAGAATTTCTTATAAATTACCAAAACGTAGACTCGATATGAATGTCACAAAAATTGCAATTTCATATGTCAAAAATACAAAACAACTTATTGTGATATACTAACGACTCAGACGGTCGAATGGCCGAGCGGTCAATGTGGAAACCTGCCGCTTTTCGGACCCGGAATCGAATCCGGATCTGTCAGAAAAATTTCGTGTGGTAGTCCGTCGGCATAATGGATATGTCGGCCAGATCCCAATGTAGACCTGGACGAACTCGTAATAGGTTTGTTAAAAGAAGCTTTCTTAGTGCCCGCAAGGCAGAAAGAATTTTTTAAAAATAAATAATAACTGCAGCAATTCTGCAAGTCTTCTGAATATAACTGTAAAGTTGAAACACCCTATATTATATAAGCGTGAAAATATCGAATTGGTAATAGCTTTTCTGTTTGCGGGATGAATCGCCTCCTTTAATTATTACCGTTATTTTATATACTTTTTCAATATTAAATTCCTGTATTCAAATTCATTTGCATTTAAGTATTTAGTCTTAATATTGTTTGGCAATATGAATATTAAATTCAATTTAAATGAAACTTTCGGCATCTAAAATTAATTTCGAATTAGCTCCTCATAGATTAAAATATATTTCAGAGTCTAAAATACTGTATACAAGAAGTCAGCACTTCAAAACAACTGTTCTTTCATTGTCATTCCTGATCACCGTATATTTATTTTTGCGCTTAATAGATCGTTCTCTTTCTAAAGCAGGGTTAAAAAGCCACTATATATGCAATGAACATGTAAAAGTAATAGTTATAATGACTGCGTGAAGTCGTACAGTATTAATAGTAGCACAGTGTTTAGAAAAACGATATGACTTTTTAAAGTGTATTGTTGGATTCAATTTGACTCTTTCGACAATACTGAATATTACGAACAATCTGGCAAATATGTCGTACTCGAATGCCGAGTACCAGAAAAATCAAGGCATCCGATATGTAAGGAATTGTCATACATAGAAGAAGACAGAAATGCATCCAATAAATGAGTGTAAAAGGTGAAAGGTATGCGGAAGCGACCATCTGTAGAAGTAGAAAAAGGCAAGGAAAAAACGTTCCCAACCGTGCATCAACGAAATTGAATACACTCCTCTAGCTTTAAAATTGACAAACGGTACGATTTTTGCATAGTAGCTTTGCATTATGTAGTATTAGTAATTTTAAGAAGGACAAAAACTTTATTTATTTCGAATGCGGCTAGAGAAGACTGTAGCACGTGACTTTAAAAGTAAGATAAAATAAAATTATCTTCAAGTTTAAATCTTATTTTATAGGCTAACACAATAAATTTATTAAATTATCAAAGCATTCACTTTATTAGTAAGAGCAAATAGTAATAAAATACACTGAGATCAAAATAATGTGCTAGTAAATAGTGTAAAAAGCAATTTATTAAATAACCATACAACATTTTTACATTCAATAGTTGCATGCTTTATTACAGTACATAAAGAATAAAAATTGCAAATTTTCTATGCTGCAGTTTTGAAAATCGAAAATGTGAAACGAAAAATATATAAAAATAAATTGTAAAACAAATCTGCAAAAGAATTCTTTCGTTTTAATGCAAATTAAATTACATTTAGATGAATGTTTATAACATGATATTAACGTGATGTTGACAGTGAAAAATTTAATTGCCAAAATGACAACATACATTTAAAACAATGCAGATTATTGTTAATTTTATGGCTTTCTAATGGATTTACTTCAATACGAATTTTTTACATTTCTAATCTATTTTGCTTATTATTTTTAACGTGTTTAGATATAAATATTGTTGATATTCAGCACAAATATATTTGGTGTTACGTAATAGTAGATTTTCGACTCTTGTGTAACAAAGACTCACTTTTCTTTCTGCAGTGTTGCACAGTTAAACATAGGATTTGTCACTACTTTCTACATTATACATATAGATACAATAATAAAATGTAAGTTATGTAGCAGTTTATTCCTTTTATTTTATTTCTCAATGTATTTAAATAACGGGATTCATGGAACATATTTTTAACGTATATTTGTAATTGTAAGATATAAGCGATAGCATCCGAAACGTTACAGGGGTTGTTAATAGTTTAGATGTATAAAAAATAGCATAACGTAATTTTTGGACAAAACCACAATCGCTTATTTCGTTCGCTTAATATCATTTCTCGGTTATTATTATCAATCACAGAGTTATTACAATAAGTAAATTTCTTTACTTTTATAAATTGCTACAATTTGAAATAATTTAATATAGAATTGGTTACTAACTTCAATATACTGTATTGAAAATTTTTAAAAATATTTAAATGATACTACATTTACATTTATTTAAGCAATTCATGAAAATTTAAATGAAATATGATTCGAAAGGTTCATTCTAATTTTAACAATTTAAATTATCACAATACGACAATAAAGTGTGAAGAAACGATAATAGTTTATCACATATAAACATATAATTAATTAATAAATCTTAATTATTAGAAGAAATTACGTTCAAATCTCAGTTAGAGCAGTTTTTCTTCTCGGAAACCGTCCTCAAATCTAAGAGACCCTCATACACAGAATTCAGAGCGCTAGACATCTGCAAATTCAAATTTGTTTAAATAATGCATTAATATATTGAAAGAGTTATTTGAATCGCATACCTTGACAGGAAACTTCTTGGTAATATCGAAGAAACCGCTCATAGATAAACATAAAGGTGCCTTCCCAAATCTTTTCATAAAATTCACAATCTGTACAAAATACATAAAATTATTTTATGCAAATTAAAAAGTATTCCTAATTTTATTTTATAACGGTAGATTTACTTTTAATTTCTGTTCTAATTTCAAATCGCATTGAGCGAATCTTCGAATGTCTTGAAACGATGTTTGCATCTAAAAGAAAGAAAAAAATCATGTTACAAGTATATATAAAACGGAATAGCGCATCTAATACAATACGAAAATTACAATAGATGTGAAAGTGGATAGTAAAAATCCAACTAGAATACAACCGCATGATAGTGCAGCACAAACTGTGGAAAACAAAACTGTCACTGCAAATTCCATTTTCGAATAAATCAAAACGTAATAAAGCAGACTGGTTTGGGTTATTAGATAACTATACATAACTGTGAATGCGTAATTGAATGGGCCATTCCATTGATTAAAACAATCCCAAAGTTCATTGTGTTGTGTCATAATTATTTCTAATTCCGTTTCCAGATTCGGATGATTCATCTTTAGTAGTTGCAGATCTTCCGATAGCTTCTGGAAAATGTTCATTAGTATAATTAAAAACGAAACACCAAAAAAACTTATATAGAATATTCCACCCATAGCTAAATTATAGTAAATGCCAATTTGTACGCTGCAGAAAAGTGCTTCGTGCTCGAAAGTTTTTGCTTGGTCTACAACAGGATAAAGATAAAAAACGATTACAGCTTGGCCACAAATAGAGAAACTTAAAACAAAAACAGAAGCGACAATTCTAGTGTAATTTATGACGTCGTAGAATTCTTTTTGACAGAAATATTCTGGCTTCGTCAATTTAATATTCGGGGTGAATTTCGCTCTTATTACAATACTGAAAAGGAGTGCTACAGTTAAAAGTAAATTAGTAGCAGCCACTTTCACAAAAATGGCATCATTTTTGACTAGCAAGTACCCCGATTTACAAGGGATCATCTCCGATAAACCCGGTATCATCATGCAAAACACCAAACAGAAAAATATCCAGTAAAAATATTCGATGAAGAATGAATAAAGTTTTGTTATAATTGGGTGAACATTAACATCATTTCGGTTGCGGCAGGAACAAGGAAGGAAAAAAGTCAATCCGTAAACTCTGGCTACAGCCGTATACGAAGACAAAACGCAGTTCAAACATATCTCTGCTTCTGTGTTCATGTTTTTTCTGTTTCTGCTATACTCGTCGTCGGCTTCAATCCTTGCCAAAAAGTTTTCCATTATTTCGTAACACTTGAGTAATTTTTAAAGAAATGTAATTAGAAATTTGAGTTATACGTATTGTAGATTATAGAAATCGAACTTAAAGGAGTTACGTGCTTCTGTAAAATGAGAGATTACAAGAACTACGCACAGTTAAAAATGCGATATACTCGAGTTACGATCAATTAAACTGTTGTAGATTCCAAAGCCGAATTCCGATGTCTTTCGCCGTAATTACTGTTTACAGAATGCAAGGTCAGTACAATAAATATACTCACATTCCGTGTTTCTGCACGGAATGTGAGTATTAAAAATTATAGGATAGTAAAATAAAGCTATTTACGTTTAACCATAGCAACTGATGCTATATTATGATGAAATTTTAATTTCGTAATTGATTTATTATATAATCGTGTCCCATTGATCAATTTGACAGGTTCTTGTTTTAATAATTTTTTAACAGCCGAGATGGTGTAGTTTTTATCCCTTTATTTTAGGAACCCAGAATGGAATCCGGACAAGTAATTTCTCGGATGTTTTAATGTATTGTTTATTCCGTATGCGTTGGGTTCCATCTCCCACCATCCGATCGTCTCTATTGTAGATCGTCGAACCGACTTGATACGTAGGAAAAATTGCATTCATGGAATAAGGGTATGCAATGTATGGGCGATGTGACAAGGAGCATGTTTTTAGAAAGGACATTCAATGGAGAACGGGTCGTGTTAAAGTGTTAGAGTGCGACTATGCAGACGCGAGCGAGCAAATTTTCTGAGCGAGCGAGAATATGTAGCGAGAAGAGGTGAGACGCGATAAATATCAAAACCTGTCAGATATGTACGAGAACCAAAAATTCGCTCTCGACAGGTGTTATTTCTCGCTACTCGTTTGTGCATGGTTTTCCTTTGCGAAATCTAAATCGCTCGCAACCTCTCGCTCGCTCTGAATTTGCGTCTGCATAGTTGCACCCTTAGACAAGAGGAAAATCGCTGAAAAGCTGCACGTGGAATCATAGTCAGGCGTCAACCCTTGAACCGGAATTCAGTACTGTACTGGGTATGGAAAAAAAAGTTTCTCAGTTTACAGAACACAAAGACTGAATGTGTGTACTTGAATATATCTATTAATTTGTTTTCTGAAACCGTGTTTTCGTATTTATTGACTATTGAACACAAGACTGTTATTAATTAAACACTTGGCGTTTTCCTCTTTATTCAGTTGACTGAACAGTTCAACTGAATAAAGAGGAAAACGCCAAGTGTTTAATTAATAACACAGTCTTGTGTTCAATAGTCAATATATCTATTAATATTTTTTACCATATTTTATATAGAAACCAGACATATTATAATAAAGCATGAATATTATAACGGCCTTTTTTTCTATAGGCTCGTTCATAGCCGTTTTCATTTGTGCCGTATGAATTAACATGTAATAATTATTTATAATTTTAATATATTTCTAATACAGTAATTAAAAATATGATATAATAATTCTTGTCTAACACGTTATGTATGTCATTTTGAAAAATCGTTACGTATTAAACTGCATTGCAACGAAATTTAAATCGAATTCTGTATTGACTACGTCTTTACTTGTTTATTTAGCGATCAATGCAGGAAATAAATTCGTATTGAATAACGTAAAATGAGAATCAATATTTCACTCTGTTCTTCTACATTTAAATTTAGAATATTTATTCTAGCATTTGAATTTTAAAATTTACTAATTAAAATTTTAATAAACAACAGTATATCAGAATAACTTTAAGAATCGAAAACTACACGTATATAGTTAAAACCACTTAGTTTCGCGCCCGAGTTAACTCGGGCAGGTTACATAGCGTTACAGAAAACTCGGTCCTTTCTTCCCACCCAATTTTTTTTGGATTTTTGGAATGTTTTTTGTCTCCAAATTTTTTCAAAAATTTTTACCCGCTCGAAAAAATTTTATCGCGATTTTAAGCAACATTTAATGACGCACGATTAACGCTTAATTGTTTTTTAATGGGATTTTGATATCAAATTTCATTCATTGTTCTAAAGTTCTAGTGCACGGATTTTACTTCGGTAAAGTTATTTAAAGCTACTTTCTGATATCAAAAACGACCTCCAATAGTTTTTTTACTTTTTTTAATTAATATATTTTATTATATATACGTTTAATTAAGTCGGGGGGGTCGGAAATCCCAATAAAAATTTTAATTTTTTAAAAATATTTAAAAATATACGGCCAGCTAGTATTCACCCTACTATAAACCCATCGCCTCCTGAGAATTCTATGAGAATGACCCAGGAAATACAACACCAGCTGTTCTCAAGGTCATCCAGCTGTAAACACAATGACTCATCGGTGTCAAATTTTGCAGAAAGGCGAGACAATGGAAAATAAAGTTTGAAGCTTTTTCTTTAAAATGAACGTATTTCTTTCGTTTTTTTTCACTTTTAAGTATTTTTTACGTTTAATTAGACCTACATTAATATCAAAAATTGCTGGGAACTAAAGCGATTAAATTTCATTGCCGTATTTAAAGTTTGCAACCACCATTATTTTTTCATGACCCATGTTCCTTACCATTCTGATCGTATCTAATCTCTTAGAGCTAATTGTGACTATACCGGTTGTCGAGACCCGTATTTATTATCGGTAATACTTGGTGGCTTCAGAAAGCAAGCTTTCTAGGACTCTAAAGCTCGCCTTACTCATTGTCCATAGTCTCCATACAATTTTTTACTTCTCTTCCAACTTTTTCTTCTTCATCTTATCTTTCCACGCCCCCTCCTTCCTTTTCCTTTTTTCTTATTTTCTTCTTTTTAATGTCATATCTAGCCTCAGAAAGCAATCGCCGATCCTCTAGGGATATAATTTATAAATGTGATAAGCTACAAAATCTCTGGTTTGTGTTGTTTTGAATACCAGGAATTTAATTTGTCTAGCAAAATTGTTGCTTCAAATAATACAAAACATAAAACGTTTAAAAGTTTGACGTTTAAATAGAAATTGTAATCACAAGCGATACATCATCTTTTCATCTTCCTCATCACATTACTTTGTTTATATTTAACAAATTACAAAGACTTTTGGAACGAGTTGTTTGTAAATATGAATTACAAAACGTTCTTCTTACTCATATTTCTAAAAAACATTCTCTAATATAAATTATAGCTTCTTTCTTTTGTTGTTATTAACTATAAAAATTAAAATATGTTTTAAAAGTGAAGAAAAATAATTAATAAATTATATTTTATTAATAACAAATAAGTACAGAAAAGTTCACGATGTGAAGAAACAATATCAATGATCATTGTTTAATTCTTTGTTTTCGAAGCGATTGTCGGAGACATTTTACGAATTGTTCGTTATAACGAATGCAATGTTTATATTTATTTTATTATTGATGATAATTTTCTGTCGAATCACCTATTGTGAACAAGACAGAAGAATGGACAAAGATCTTGGATGGGAGAGGAAGGACCAAAACCTGTTTGGAGAATGGACTGATTTACGAAGAATCAGAGATTCCAGGACGAAAGATAACTACCGATTTTGGAATGTAAAGAAGAAAAAGAGAGGCGAATGGAATTTGGATGGAATACTTCCTAAAAACAAAGCTTGGAGTTATAAAAGAGAAAAGTCGAAAGACAACAACAGACGATTAGGAATGGAAAAATTTCACGATGCACTTTTCAAAAAATTTAAGTTAATGGAAATGAATACAAACAGGAAGTCATTAAAGAACAATAATTACAATATTAAGAAACGTAGAAAATTTAGAAAAGAAAAAAATCACTTAAACAAAAAGTACGAATCATCGTTTTTATTTTCAAAAGATAGAAAAATCCCGTACCAACGAGCTGCTAATTGGTTTCATTCGAAGACGAAGAGATACAGATCAAAACAACCTTCGTTTCCATCACAGAACTGGATGAACTCAAAAGATCTTAAACATTTTCAAACTCTCAAAGATGATGTTTATTTCAGGATGGTTCTGTTCGTAGTGGCTTTCGTATGCCCATTCGTCTTGTTCGGGGCCTTAGCTATTCTTATTTGCATAATTTCTCTCATTGTAAATCTGTGCGAAGAACCTCGAAGACGAAGTCGAAATAAACATACAGACATGAAATTCTCGGACCAAACGATAAAATTATCTTCACGACAAAACGAAAAGGATATGAAATCTTTACTTCAAGGACATAATTCATCATACCAATCTTCTGGAAGCGAATCATCAGATTAGGGTATCGTAATAGAGCTTACTCAATAGACAACAGATAGAAGCGAGGATTTTCTCAAGGAAACTCAATCGCAAGCGAGAGGTGAAAAAAATCCGTGTAATATATAAACATTTCTGACAGAATATGAGGATCAATAGTATTCCTCTTTTGAAATAATCGAAAAATGGAGTAATGAAAATGGAAATGTTAACTTGGACGAGGAAGAAGAAGAAAACAAATCCGAGGACAAAATGTTTGAATGATTATTTAGGAATAATGGAAAAAGAATAATGAAGAGGAAAAGTTGGAAATGAAAGCTTCAGAAAAAGCAATTCAACTGTTTGCCCTTGTTACGAAATCCTGTATGATTTCTATTTAAAAATTTAAAAAAAATTAAAGCTTTTAACTTGTATATTCAATCTCTATAAAACATACTTGTAAAATTCACAGATACAGTACAGACACTCTGTACTGTATCTGTGTCAAGTGGTGTCAAGAATTTTTATAAGATACAGTTTTGGTGTTGGTGCAAATGTCATTTTTAATAAAACCCTATTTCGGTTTTCAAACGCACACGTTTGCACCTTTCCCATCTGTCAAAAGTAAACAAACCAACGCGTACTTGTAAACCGGAGAGAAACCCACTCGAAGGCAATGTTAAGTTAAAGCAGATGTGAAAAAGTTATGTACTGAACGTTTGTAAATTACTGTTGCGTGACACCATGATACTTCGCCAACTCAGCAAATTCATATTTTGTATTGGATATTAAAATCTATGTATAATGACTGATGATGGACCTTATAGGTGTAAAATTCATTTCGCAATAAATACATAGGAAATAAAAAAGTGTCTCAATTTCTTTCTGTTCCGTGACTGTTCAGTGTGATATGTCCGCCTACATGAAAAGTGCAATAGTACGAAACATAAATAAGTCAACGAAGCAAGTGGCAAGGGTTTAATTTTTCCAACAACACCTTTAAATG